ATGACCTTGACCCGAGGTCAATTTTTCAAGTTGAATTTTCATGGTCAACTTATAGTTCATTCGACGCGTCTCGACGAGAGGAACACGATGCTGGCAAAAGTAATGTCAAGACTCTTTTGAGTCAAAAGTTTGCCGAAAAACACTTCGTAAAAACGGTTATTTTTGGAGTTTTTGCCTTCTGGAGGCAAAACCGTTAAAGGGACCCTCCCACCTTCAAAAAAGTTAATGAATTGGCACGAAAGTGATGTCGCTCGGTTCAGAAAGAGCGAAAACGAATATCTACCAAATTTCATCGAAAAATATTCACCGGTTTTCAAGATATTAGACTTTTACTTTTGTTTACTTTTTGGGATCTCCGCTGTTCCTAGCGACTTTATTTGAAAGTGCGGCATTTGTTGCGCGCAAAGCAGCATATACCACCGCGTGCTACCAAACGTTTTAGTAAAAGATTTAAAAATCGATAGATCTCCGCTGACGTCACAAATTCTAAGGGGGCATACCAATGCACTAGCCCCTTAGAATCCGAAAACTGCAAGTTTGAAATTCCATATCTCCGAATTAAAGCATTTGTCGATGTTGTGAGTGCCCAAACCGGTATCTGCAGGCCATGGCCACCAATTTGGCTATCTCAACTCAAAACTAATGTTAAGGTGGGAGTGTCCCTTTAACCTGAGGTCAAATCTGAGAACATGTTTTCGAAAGCGCGTCAAAAGAGCTATCGAATGCGCTTTTCCGCGGCGCTGTAGCTCTATCGGTTCCCGAGATAGCCGTTGGCAGTTTCCAAAATGTTGAAATAGCCAACATTTTACCTTTGTTGACCTCTGGTGACCTGACCTTTGACCTGACCCAGAAAATGATCGAAGTGTTTTCGTCCTTATTTTGGACGTTCTTTCGACTGCCGCTTACCGCGTGTCACTTCGTGGCCCAGGAGCCGAGTTAGAAGGGGTGGAGGTGTTCAGACACCCCCCCCCCCCCGGCCCGGCGCGGAAGTCTCGGAGCACCGGCCCGGTTTGGAATTTCTTTTTGGTCACAATGTGTTAAAGCTATTTACGGGAGGGTACTGAAAGTTTGGTGATGTTCGGCGCAGCGGTTCTGGAGCTATATCAAAAAACTAAAGGGGGACAAAAAAATGCCCCCCCCCCCACTGCATGGAAGGTTAGATCATCGATATCAAAATTCAGAGATATACAAATTATAGCTTCTAATGGCCTCATTACATCCTGTGACTTTCAAAGGTCTCCGTCATCTACTGTAGCTCTGACACCGTGACAAAGCTGCAAAAAAGTGATTTGAGGTTGGGTCATTCGAAGTGACCTGGTGACATGACCTTGAATTTGAAATATAGGAGGTTCAAATTTGCACACCATGTGTTAAATAGATGAGGGAAAAGTCATGCGAACTTTCGTTGCGCCGCCGTTTTCGCGTTATTCACGAAAAACCTCAGCTCTCATAAACAGCATTTACATTTTGATTCAACAACAGCAAATATATTCAATTTACATCCTCCAGATCTAAAAAAAGCGCTGAAACAGCTTGTTTATTACTTTATAATATATTAGCTTGAGGAAAATAATCACATCCATTGAGTCATCTTACAGTCTTACTGCTCAATGCATCCATCACCTTTGAAAGGTAAGGTGTCATGCAGGTATTAAGTAAGCACTAAGTAGGTGTTGATTACCTAGATATTAAGCTAGGCCGATTGGATCAGGTGGCACTTAATCACCTTGATCCTGTAACCTTTAATTCAGCCATCAGGCACAAATAACTTTTGAGCTTGAGCTGGTATTATGCAGGTCTTGGGTCACATGTTTGGTTAGATGTGGTTGTTTCTTTTTGCAGGAAGTTCAAAATTGAAATGGCATGTCTTTGACAACTGTGGCATATAGTTCAATGTTTCATTGAGATAGGACCTTAAAGGACCAAAAAGTTCATGCAAGACCACCTAAGAAGCTCAGTAATCAAATGCAAATCAAATCCTGAACAAACCCAAAAGGTATATGGGACCGAGACCAGAACTCTGTTACCAATTGAAAAATTGTCTGCCATTGTTTCCTGTATCAATTCAAGCATCTCACAATATTCACCATCCAAACTGAACAATAACCATTAAATTGAAAACATGGGCATTAGGCTAACTGAATCACTTTTCAGTAGGTAGGTAGTAATAACTGGTAAAGCAGGCGTCTCACTTGTTTTATGCAACCAAGAGACGTGCTGTAGGTTAGGTTGTAGGTTTAAGGTGGTAGGTTTTAGGTAGGTAGTAGGTTTTGGAAAGGTGTAGTCAGGCTTGGTTAGGTTTGGTTTGGTCTGGTTTGATTAGAAAGTAGCTCTGGGTATAGCACCTCTCCTTGGTTGCAAAATTAAGTGTGATACCTGCTGTAAGACTACCCGCTTTTCGTTTTTGCTTATGCCTAGCAAATTTTGGGGGCGACTTTTGGCATATATATCTGGAGCCAATGGTTTCTTTTGGTTGTTTGTTTGTTTATTGGAGCTTTACCTCGCGTTTGATGTCTCTCGGACGACAAAGATTCTACATCGTCCAGCAAACCACGTTCCATAACTGCAGCCGAGCCCCCGCTAACCTTGAACGGGATTAGCCGGACGGCGCAGAACCTTCATCATCCGAAAGACATTGAGCGCGGGGTTACGGTACATCGACTGACCAGGTCATTTTGCATCTTTTCTTTTGGTTGTACTGGCCTCAGAGTAAGACAATTTCAAAGCTTGCAGGATCATCTCAAGCATGTGTAGGTATTGGTAAGTACTTACTTTAAACTTGACATGGAGCTGGAGCTCATGTTGTGGTTCATTGCAGCTGGGCTTGGCCGCACATCAGTCATCTTACTTCACACCAGAATGCTTGCAAAACCTTACAGCATCAATGCCTGGCGTGTATTCTGATTCAGGCTTAATTTCTCAACAGAGCAGATGTTCGTTCTGCGCCGATAACGGTCACCGGAAAACTCCTCTCTGGAAAAGAAAAGGGTGTCAAAAGCAATTCATCCACTTGCTTGGGTACACAGGGCTACTTGTAAACGCTTCAAGCGATGCTTAGTAATATTTCGCAATTACCTTTTACTTTTCGCCGCTTACTTTCTAGCATCAAATTCCGGCAAACAACCGGCGGCAGCCCCTCGTTTCACAACTGGAACAACTGGCAAAGATTATTCCAAACAATCATAGTATACTTAAATATTGTTGGACTAGCAATTACTATTGGACTCACTTATATTCAAAAGATACAACGTAAGGGTGTATGAACAGAGCAAAAAACATTTATGATGAATAAAAATGTGCATTTAAAATAAAAAGGCGCAAATTTCAGAATCTCACTACTAGTTGTCTTGGTAGGAAAGAAGTGTGCTAGTACAAAACTATAAAAATGGCCGACGGAACAACAGAGGTTGGGCCGTGGACCGAGCGCCGAGCCGCGTTTACTGATAGATCAAGATTGCGGGTAACTAGACCATCAAACGAATTGAGTTTACGATGCACCTTCCTTACATTATTACCAAAGTTGCCCCCAAACAAGAATCATGATTTTTATAAGCGGCATCTTGCGTAGTACCTTTAGAGACGCAACCACTAAATAGGTGTCACAATACTAAACAGCTTTAGATTGATCATAATTCATATCGTAGTTACAGGCGTAATGAAATAATGTCTTATTCTTATGCACGACCAACAAAACGTTCCCTGATTAAAACATTTGACTCACCTTAACAAACTAACTTCCCCCGCCACTACTCGATTCTCAACTAAACCAGCCTCTCCGTTCTGTTGGCCGGCGGTCAATGTGGACCGGCCAGTCAGAAACATCACGTGACCCAATGGTGCCTGCGGCAGTCTGCGGATCAGCGGCCAACGGGCCTGCATACCTCAAAGGGGCAAACTCCACCGACCAAGCAAAGCACAGCTCCGCGCTGGTGACGCGAGAGGGGGGAGGGGGTGGAAACTGCGCGCCATTTCCACTCGTGCCACGTCGGGTTCGGCAAACGTGCTCTTTTTAAACATAAAGCTGCAATGATCCGTGGGCCAAATGGCCTCCTTCAGATGTGATGTGCCTAAAAGCTGATAGCCGATAGGCTTCCACGCAGGAGTGCCCCTGGGCCCATACGCAAACGTGAAATACTAGAAAACGACTCATCAGACCACAACATTGAAATCGAGAAAAGGCAAGTCACTACTTCACAGCAAACAGTTGATAGGAAAGGGGTTTCTTGATGAATCCCGGGCACATTTATTTAATTAGGCTAGGTGCATCTCTACAGCGACCCGAGGGATTCGGGAGCAGCTCCCAGGAGCCAGGAGGGCGCGCGCTATTGTGTGCATTGTGCACCCACAGCGGACCCCGGAGCAGTGTTTGCCAGGCAGTGGGCACAGCACGGGACACAACCGCCATCGGGTGCCGGCCGACTCGGCTATGGTATGATTGGCCTGTATGTTTGTATGCCAGCTAGACACGGGCTGGGCTGTGGTGGCTATCCGTTTCTCTATTGGCGAGTTTCGGACGGTTGTTTGGGATTTTGCGCAAGACCGTGGGCGGACCGCGGAGGCGCCCGTCAAACACGACCTCGACGGTGGCATACACTGACGAAGCCAGTGGCCGACGGTAACACCGGTGACTGAACAGCGCCTGACGGTAACACCGGCGACTGAACAGCGCCTGACGGTAACACCGGCGACTGAACAGCGCCTGACGGTAACACCGGCGACTGAACAGCGCCTGACGGTAACACCGGCGACTGAACAGCTCCCTCCCTCTCTGTCTCTGTCTCTGTCTCTGTCTCTGTCTCTGTCTCTGTCTCTCTCTCGACTCTCTCTCTCTCTCTCTCTCTCTCTCTCTCTCTCTCTCTCTCTCTCTCTCTCTCTCTCTCTCTCTCTCTCTCTCTCTCTCTCTCTCTCTCTCTCTCTCTCTCTCTCTCTCTCTCTCTCTCTCTCTCTCTCTCTCTCTCTCTCTCTCCCTCTCTCCATCCCCGTGCCCCGACACCAGCGTCCATCTATCGCCATGTATTATCAGTTGAGGTCGGGCACGGTACGGGCCAGCAGGCCGTTCATGTACAGGGCCAGCAGTCGGTTGAACACCTCTGCGTTGTAGCCGGCCAGTAGCGGCCGTCCGTCCGTGTAGGCGCAGCGCTCGTAGAGCGGCGTGGCCGGCTCGGTCCACAGCAGGTTCTTCAGCTGGTGCCGGGTGCTGACCTCGCCGCTGGTCGGGTCCGGCACCGCCTGCGTGTTCAGCTGCAGCACCGACCGCTTGAAGAGCCGGCCGTCGGTGGCCACACACTGCACCACGGCCGGCCGGCCGGGCCCCGCCTGTGGGCAGCAGCGGCGCCGTCAGAGCCGGCACCAGGGGAACGGCGGCACACTGCACCACCGGCACCAGTCGGCGGCACACTGCACCACCGGCACCAGTCGGCGGCACACTGCACCACCGGCACCAGTCGGCGGCGAACACAACACATAAGGCCTAAAACTATACGCCTTGTTGCCTTATCCGCATAAGGCAAAAGGCTATAAATCCAGCATTTCAGGCTGGAACACAGCTTTTGAACTTTAACTTAACTAAACTTGAACTAAACTAAACTTGAAGTTGAACTTATATTAAACTTAAAAATTGCTCTTGATAATTCGTTAAATGATGTAAATTTTTTAATGAGAATGAATTTGTGCCATAATCGATTGTTTATTGTTTGCAAAGTCAGAAAAACTACTTTATACATTGATAGCAACGACGACTGATCCAGTTGATATCAGAAGGCTCTGCCGGCGGAGTCAGCCGTTTGAGCGCGGCACTGCCCGGTGTCAGGGACCGGTTGGGCTGGGCTGGACTGGGGCTGCCGGCGCCCCGCCGACCGGGAGGGTCAGACCGCCGGCGCCCCGGCGAACGCCACTGACCTGCTGTCGCGCCATGTTGACCGCCGCCGCGTGCATGCTCATCACAGAGAGCGCGCCCAGCTGGTCGTCGTCGACCCACTTCTTGATGCGGCCGTTCCAGGCCAGGAACAAGGTGTGCACGTACCGGTGTCGGCAGCCGGCTGACACCGCTGTCAGGGGGCGGGGGCAGAGGGGTCAGACACCGCTATCAGGTCAGGGGGGAGATCAGACACCGCTGCCAGCTGCCAGAGGAGTTTTCTGCGGATTATTCTTAACGATTTGCTACGATTTATTTTATCCCGCGCCCCGTTGGGGTCTGCCGAGAACCACGCAACATAGCGACAAGCAGCAAACGGAGTTAAATAGCCTCAATAGGGAACTACCTTGTGACGCAATTTCATTGACCTAGGTCAAACCAATGACGTCACAGGTCAGGTCAAATTTCGAATTTTCACCGTTTACAGGCATTTCAAGAAATGCGCTGTAAAATCGAGTAAAATGCATTTCATTGAAAATCATCGATGGGGAATTGTTCGTCAAACACATATTCTGCTAGCTGAGGTCACTGATACCAGGTCAGGTCACAGAGGTCAGGTCACTGAGGGTCACAATATGAAAATATAATGTGATGCATGTTTTATGGTCCATTTTTTGCCAAATGCGATTATGTGGGTCAGGCAGCCTTTGGGGCCAGTTTAGATTATGTTCTGGTGAAGGTCAGGTCAAGGTCAGGTCAAATCAGGTCAAATATCAAAGTTGATATTTTTGCATAAAATGGGCATCCATTCGATGCTGCTCGTCACGGGGAGTTCGATGGTGGTCTTTGTTTTGCGCTACGTGGTCTAGAATTGCTAAAAAATGAGCCAAAAAATTTGACGTCATCAATTTTGAACAGTGCTTTTCGCTATAACTTGGCCAAAAAAAGGAGGTATCGATCTAAAATTTGGTATGTAGGTAGAAGAGCCAAGGACTATCTATATTCCGGTTTTTTTCGAAATTCTAAAAACTTTTGTTTTTTTGGCATTTTTCTTAAAAATCAACTTTTTTATTTTGGGGGGTCAAAATCCCAAAATTTTGAAAATCCTAGGGAGCAGTTTTGTAGCGCCGTTTTTTCTCTCGATGACCATATGAAGAACTTTTAAATTGTTTGGTAACTGTAGCTTTTGTGAGTGTTTCAAGATTTCATGTTTTTTTTTTTTTGCTCATTTTTGCCCGAGCATGACCTCAGTTTGACCTCAATAACTCCTGACCTAAGGTGACCTAAGACTTGAAATTTTGTGATAAGGTGTCAAATTGATGCCCGGGAAGGTACTGAAAATTTGGCGGCCCGTTTTCTTGCTATTCAGGAAAAACCAGAGGGGGGGGGGGCAAATTGCCGCCCAGCGGGGCGAGGGTTATAATAAAGGTATGATTTCTGACGATGGTATGCAAATACAAATGCTCAGACGATACCACAAATTATTTGCCGGAGCTACAATTTAAACCTGGTTCATTATACCACAACATCATACCACGTTCATTATACCAGGTGGTACTACTGTGAGTGCCACCCATTACCAGACACCCCCGGACTCCCCCTACCATGGTATTACCCCCTCCTCTGACCTGACCCACTCTGCCCTCGTCCACGCTCTACGATATCGGAATCTGAGGAGCTTCTGTAATTTGGAAAACTGTTTCAGGGTATATCCCCGGCAGCGTCGGCGCCCTCCCGTCTGGATCGGCCTGTGAGAGTCTGTGCCCGCGGCTGTGTCGACTCGCGCGCCGCGTCCCGCCCGACTCACGCGCCACGTCCCGCCACTGGTAGTCGTGCACGCTGTGCAGGTGCACGAACGGACTGACGGGCTCCAGCTGGGGCGCGGCCGCGGCGCGACTGGCCTCCACGGCCTGGGCGGGCGCCGGCGCCGGCAGCGGCCTGTCGGCCATCAGCGCCAGCTCGGGCCGCCGGCTCACCAGCAGACGGTGGCCGTCCGAGCTGGAGCGGCGACACAGAGCGACACCGGTCAGCGACACAGGTCAGCGGCACAGAGCGATACAGGTCAGCGGCACAGAGCGATACAGGTCAGCGGCAAACACGGGTCAGCAGCACAGGTACACACAGAACGGAGACACAGAGCGACACAGGTCAGCGGCACAGAGCGATACAGGTCAGCGGCACACACACAGAACAGCGACACAGAGCGACACCGGTCAGCGGCACAGGTCAGCGGCACAGAGCGACACAGGTCAGCGGCACAGAGCGATACAGGTCAGCGGCACAGAGCGATACAGGTCAGCGGCACAGGTCAGCGGCACAGAGCGACACAGGTCAGCGGCACAGAGCGATACAGGTCAGCGGCACAGAGCGATACAGGTCAGCGGCACAGAGCGACACCGGTCAGCGGCACAGGTCAGCGACACAGTTCAGCGGCACAGAGCGATACAGGTCAGCGGCACAGAGCGATACTGGTCAGCGGTACAGACACAGGTCAGCGGTACGGAGCGATACAGGTCAGCGGCACAGAGCGATACAGGTCAGCGGCACAGGACAGCGGCACAGAGCGATACAGGTCAGCGGCACAGGTCAGCGACACAGGTCAGCGGCACAGAGCGACACAGGTCAGCGGCACACACACAGAACAGCGACACAGAGCAATACAGGTCAGCGACACAGAGCGACACCGGTCAGCGGCACAGACACACGGGTCAGCGGCACAGACACACGGGTCAGCGACACAGACACGCACGCACGCACCAAGTATTTTACTATTCCATTGATCAATGCAGTAACGATTACATGGCGGATCGGCTCAAAAGCTAACGCTTACATGGAAGCGGCTTTACAAAATTAAACAACTAAACAAAACGCGTCAGGGGCTCAGGTGCACACTGCACCGGCTAGCGGCAGTCCGGGTCAATCCGTATGTGCGGGTCAGCCCGGGTCAGTCTCGGTCAGTCCGGGTCAGCCCGGGTCAGTTCGGATCAGTCGGACAGTTCGGATCAGTCTCGGTCAGTCCGGATCAGTCTCGGTCAGTCCGGGTCAGCCCGGGTCAGTCTCGGTCAGTCCGGATCAGTCCCGGTCAGTCCGGGTCAGCCCGGGTCAATCCGTGTCAGCCCGGGTCAGTTCGGATCAGTCGGTCAGTCCGGGTCAGCCCGGGTCAGTCCATTGTCTCGGTCAGCCCGGGTCAGTCCCGGTCAGCCCGGGTCAGTCCCGGTCAGTCCGGGTCAGTCCCGGTCAGTCCCGGTCAGTCCCGGTCAGTCCGATGGTAGCCGTTCAATCGAAGATGACAGGAACAACTACATATATGGGCGGACCACGCGGCGGGACACAAATGGTTTAGCAGTGCAGACAGCGTTGGTAACTATGAAGCGCGGCACAGGTGCGCCGGCAGTCGGCACGCGGTTCGCCCGCGCGACTGTGGCACTGGTGCCGCCGCCGGCCGACAGTCAGTGGCGGGACTCACGTGACGTGGGTGGCGCTGAGCAGAGGTCGGTAGAGCGTCAGCCGCGACTGGAACCCGTCCAGCCGCACGGCCAGCCGCTCACACAGACTCAGCAGGCCAGACAGCAGCGAGCGGCTGCGGCCGCACCGACACCGGTCAGCGATACGCAAAACAGCCGCACTTCAAAAGATTATCAACCTTATTTGAGGAAATACGCCCATATACTGAATTAAGCACAATCACACTGATATACATAACACGCGATAACGGAAGATAACGACAGGCATGACAATGGCGCAGAGACGAAATAGTCAGCGCGCTGGATAGGTATCGCAGCCGACTGGCGGCCGGCGGCCGGGCCCGTCGGCAGCGGCCACTCACTTGGAGCGGAGCTCCGGCACGCCGTACTGCACCGGCTGCGGCAGGCCCAGCCGCGTCACGTCGATCACCTTGGACAGCTTCTCCTGGGTGGCGTCGAACATGAGCGACGTCTTGATGACGCTGCCAGCACGGCGGGTCAGAGGGAGGACGGTCAGAGGGAGGACGGTCAGAGGGAGGGCGGTCCCGGTCAGAAGGAGGACGGTCAGAGGGAGGACGGTCAGAGGGAGGACGGTCAAAGGGAGGAAGGGCCCGGTCAGAGGGAGGATGGTCAGAGGGAGGACGGTCAGAGGGAGGACGGTCCTTGGTCCCGGTCAGACGGGCTACGTGGCAGATCCTTGATTAAGAACAGGAAGCGAAACAACGAGCAAAGTTGAATCAAACAACTACACTTACTGTTAAAGTATAAAAAGCCGGTTCATTGACATACGCCAAGGCGTCCCGCCCAGCCAACCATCAGTGATGCGCAGGTCCTGCGCTCCAGCGCCGAGCACCAGAATGGAACACTTAAAACAACAGGAAATATCACTTGAAGCATCTGAAGTGTTTAGTAAGTACCCGACAGAGTGGCAGGAGTACTTACTCTGTGACTAGCTCATCTTGATTTCTGATCCGCTCGAGACCTTCAAGAGCAGTGACTTGTTCAGGGAGTCCTTCGCCGACCTGAATTGTGTTGGTAAGGGCCTGTGGGCGCATCCAGACATCGGCCAGTTACCATAAATGGTCAGTAAATATAACAGCACGGCCGCTCTATGCGCAAAAAAAAAAGACACTGGAAAAACAGCAAATGATGGAAACAAGAGTTATATCATAACGATTTAGTAGCAGGCCAATGAGGAGGCATGTCACCGCCAATACGACCGAGGCCAGCAACTATAGGTGTCCGTGTATCACAGGGCTGCCACCGCTGGAACAGGTGGCCGGCGCTGGCCGCGGCACGCACCTGCGCCTGCCGCTGGCCCAGCAGCAGGTTCTTGCCCTGGTAGACGAAGGCGGCCGTCTGGTGGTGCTCCGGCCGCCGCGCCGGCTCCACGAGCGCCGCCTCGGCCCCCACGGCCGTCTCCATCACACTGGGAAGTGGGAACGGCCGGCCGGCGGCGGTCAGACCCCACTGCACTGCCGGGCGCCGCCCCGCCGAGAGACACCGTGAGCGCCCCAACAGCGCACCGCCGAGACGCAGCGCCCCACGCCGGCGTGGCGATTCGTCTGCGGCTTAAAGGAAATAGTTCACTTTTTAACATGGGTTTTGAACTGGAATAGCAGTTCCGTAGCTTGGGCTGAGACGAGCATAAATCAGGAGCTTTTACAGCCCAACGATCACCCTAGGCAAAGATATTCTATTTCTCGTCCCGAAAAAGGTGTCTTGCGTTGAGGATGTGTGCCTTGCATATATTTCCATCCAGTATGAAAAGAGCATGGGTCCCGAAAATTCTTCAGAAACTAGAGAAATTATCTACGAGAACTCGAGAAATTCTCGTACTGATCAATTAGGACATTCAGGGGAACATTATCAGATCGAGCAGATCGCCCAAATGCCGGTGGCTGCGATAATTTCTCTGTTTCTGAAGAATTTTCGGGACCCATGCTCTTTTCATACTGGATCGCGTGTGCCTTACAGAAACTGAAAAGTTCTTCCTATATCAAAATATAGAAAAAATATCTTTTGTTATAAAAAGGATTTATTTTCTTTGCTGATTATTTTGAACATAAAAAATAATAAATCGTTGCAAAAAAAAAATAATTTCGTGAAAGTGAACTATTTCCTTTAATATATCACAGAATAGGTGCACACTGCACAATGCACAATTATGCAATATAACACCGATTACAATTACTGGCGCAAAGCATAAACCCGCACCCCACTGAGGTCTGCGAATAAAGCGCCCTGGGGGGGGGGGAGGCTATTCATAGCCCCCCCCTCCCAACTCCGAAACTACTGGGCCGATTGTCAAAATTCAAACGGGGTCTGATAGCCCCAGAAAAACTGTTGACCGAAACGTAATTTCATTAACCTCGAGGTCACCGACGACGTCACAGGTCAGGTCAAAATAAAAATTATCAATATTTGGCTTGTTTAGAAGTTGGACTCTGGCCGCCGCTTTACAAATCAGATCAGGCTCACTTTTGGTTTACACACTCTTGAATAGATGCTTTAGATACCCTGAGGGTGTCAAACTTGTAGGGGAGAGTGGGGTAAGATGCCCAGGGTGGGAAAGACGCCCCACCCCCTCTAGCGGCGAAACAAAGAATCGAACCTGGAAATTAATGTTCTTAGCGTAAAGCGGAAGCCTGCCTTGTAAACTGCACAAAAATTTGCGAGGCTTAGTTGGGCAACGGCTGGCTGGTGATTGCATGTTTTTTATTTGCTGCTTTCAAAAAATATTTTGGTGTCAAAACATTGTAAATATCAAAGAAGGTAGATAATTTTTGCGTCCCTTGCTGTAGTCGTGATAAATTAACATGCGTGTACTGTGTCGCAAACAGTTTGTTTCAGGGTGTAGTTTTATGGCTAACAAAATTGTACTGATTTAATGTTACCTCGGTACCTTGGGGTAAGATGCACCCTGTCCTGATGGGGAAAGACGCCCCCTAAATCCGTAGGCTGTCCTTCAAGCAGCCCGTCAAATCATTTATTACATACCTGTGATGAGAGACAAAAGCCGATCTGGGACTATTGAGAGTCCAGTACGGTCGGGTGCTCCCCATGCCGGTCTCTCGGCCCACACAGCGACTTTTTGGGCGGCATCTGACTCTGAGAGCCCTTACGACGGCCTCTGTGGGCCACATTATTGGCTCCAGGGCCCCTCACGACATCCTTTGAGGGCTCCCACGTTGGCTCCACGGGCTGCGCTGGCATCTGAGGTCCCCACGATGGGCTCGAGGGCCCTCAAGCATCATGAAGACCTATGAGGGCCCCACAGTGGTCTCCAAACGCCACCACGGAGGCTTGTTTGGCCGCGCTGGACTATGATGGCCCTAACGATGACCTCTGAAGCCCCTTACGACTACTTTTGAGGGCCCTTACGATGACGTTTGGTGTCTACTGCAGGCCCGAAGGGACTACGATTCGTTCAGGCGATTCACGTGCCCATTTATGTCACTTATAGTGCAGGGGGCATCTTACCCAACGCCAGGGGGCGTCTTTCCCACCCTGTGGGGTAAGATGCCCCCTTTCACTTCTTCAGGAAAATGCTTAATAGCAAAAAAAGTTATCATAGTTCAAGCACGAAAGTGTGATATTTTTGGAGAAAAATGATGTCGGCTTCCGTTGAAACTACAAGTTTTTGCTTTCCGATCGTCATTTTCGAATAATATATGACATAGTAAAACCCTGGGCATCTTTCCCCACTCTCCCCTACCTAGGTACTTTGATTTTCAGGGCAAGGCCAGCCGCCAGGTTATCCCTGGTCACGGATATCTTATATCATGCATCGGTCACGTGACACATGCTTTATGGTCCATTTCGCCATAGATTTTAAAGTCGGTGTCGTCTGTGTCTTTCGAGGTCATTTTCAGCTGAATAAAGCTGAGGTCAGGTCACTTTCAGGTAAAAAAAAAGTCAAATTTCAAAGTTAAAATTTTTCAACTTTTGTCTATCGGATGCAGTCTAAGCTCAGAAACACGGCGGTCATCTTTATATTGATGCACGATGTCAAAAACGTACTGAAAAAAAATGATTTAAAAAAAATTATAATTGTGAAATTTTGACTATAATGCGTATAACTAAGCTATTTTTTTAAGATATTGGGCTAAACAGACAGCTAAACGGCTAAATAGACTAGATCCCAGGTTGTGCTCTATCGCATCTATTCCTTTTTTGAGATGTCAAAAACTTTAAGAAAAATACCTAAATATAAATCTTAAGATTAAATATATATTATTTTCAAAATTCTAAATCCGAGATAGCAGTTTGATAGCCATGTACATTCTGAGTCCTCTCACGCAAAGAAATTGGATCTAATGGCCGGTCCCGTAGCTCAATTGGTAGTGCGTTGGACTCCGCGTGGTGAGAGCACGCGTTCCCGGTTACAACAGTCCGGGTTCGAAGCGCGACGGGCGCTTGACATTTATGGGCCTCCTGACAGGTATGGTTGCGGTTGGTGGCAGGCCGTAGCCAGGGGCCAGGCGAAGTCAGTTAGGGGACCGGCCGTGCGCGACTGTGTGCGCACGTTAAACTTTGGACTCTAAATTCTGTCATAGAACTGGAATTGCGCGATCGGAGGGTAGAGGGCAGGGTCACCGCAACAAGCTTCGCTTAGCGCTGGCTCTGTCCTTGGGAATCCTTCCAATCAAAAGGTTCGGATTAAATTTATAAAAAAGCTAAAAACTTAGCTCTTGAGGGCAATTGCCGTAGTTCAATGTTTCGCATCAAAATCGGCCGAACATGACGTCACTTCGATGTCATTTCCGGCCGACCTATGGTACCAACGAAGTTCGGGTTTTGTCACAACAAGGTGTCAAATTGATGCAGCCGAAGGTACTGAAAGTTTTACGTCGATACGCCAAGCGTTTTAGAAGTTTTTGCAGAAAAACAAGAAGGGGAGAAAAGCGGCACCCCCCCCCCCCCTCAGTGGTGCGCGGGTTAACACCATTCCAAAAAACGAGACGTCATTTCAAAATAAGGGTTCGGGCGATTTCACCAGTGCCATATGAGTTTGTACTGTACCGTGGCTCCCGGTCCTCCCATTGTACACCGAATAGCTTCGCAGCATCATATACGGTTTTCCCGTTGGCTTCCAGGGCCTGTTTCAGTTTGCGATTGTCAACGGTCACCCTTTTCTTCTGCTTCCACATGTCGTTGTACCATCGTCCCAGCAGGTGCTTGTGCAACACTGGTGTGAACCTCATCCTGAAAATCAGAAGCTTTGATAAAATACAGCTGAATGATTTTCAACCACTTAAACTGAGTTTACAAAAGTAGTTCGGTATATACACTCACGTTCCACGCGGTCGTCCGCCCCGACACCAAAAGTCAACAATATTACCTCGGGACCGCAGTGTGTCCAAAATTGTAATGCTGAGGGGAAATCCACCCATAATGAAAAGTATAATGACATCCTAAAAATATAAATGAATACATCCTCACCGCAGTCACAACTTATAATATAACCTCGGACCCAAACGTCTAGGAGCAGGAGAAACACGAACCTTGCAAACACACAAGATATCAAGACAACCATTCGAATAACCAAAATGTTCAAATATATGAGCCGACTTAAAAACCTCCGACCCCGAATGCCTCCGTTCCCAAAAATGGGAACGTTCCTATACTTGGGTACTCATGACCATAGTTCCGCCTACTGCTCTGAGTTGTGTGTGGGTCATGGGGCCCTCATAGACGTCGGTGGGGGCTCTTAGAGACGCCGGTGAGGGCCCTCACAGTCTCCGTTATGGGGCCCTCGGAGAAACTGATGTCAGATGTGAGGCCATCACTGGGAGGTGTGGGGTCCTTTGAACTGCTGGCTCCTGACTGGCTGGCAAGAGTCCTCAGAGTCCGGTAAGGGGCCCTCAAAAGCCGGCGCGGGTCCTTCTGGAGATAAGCTGGCTACTTAGGACCCAAAAGATGCTCTTGCGAGCTCTGTGAGGCCCTTCTGAGGTGAAAGATGACCAGTGTGGACCCTCAGCGGCGAATTGGCGTCGCAGGGCGTCTTGAGCCCTGGGACCTCCGAACTTGACGAGGAAACGTCCCCCCTGGTCCCCTGACTACGCCACTGCCCGCTTTCACATGAAAGCGCCCCTCTTTTGCACCCTCTTTCGCACCTTATAGGCGATTGCGCCCTCTCGAAGAATGGCGCCCCCTCAGGGCTGCGGAGTCGATGGATTTTCGGCGACTCCGACTCCGACTCCGACTCCGGCTTTCAAAAACCAGCTCCGACTCCGACTCCGACTCCGGGCAGAATTGTCGACTCCGACCGACTCCAACTCCCGACTCCGACTCCGCAGGCCTAGCAGGGCTGCGGAGTCGACAGATTTTCGGTGACTCCGACTCCGGCTCGGGTTTCTAAAATCGACTCCGACTCCGACTCCGACTCCGGTCACAACAGTCGACTCCGACCGACTCCGACTCCAACTCTGACTCCGACTCCGCAGCCCTGTGGCTTCCCCTATGACTTTGTCTGCACCATTTTTTTTCTAGCGTGGTTACGCCACTGGCTAAGCCTTCCTTCTGCAATGAGTCGACATCCCATTTGCACAGAGAGACTCCTACTGGTAGAGATTCTCTGAATTGCCCATATAGGGCCTCCTGTTGGTACAGGGGGCCTCCAATATGAACAGAGATCCTGATAATGGGACAGAGGACCTCAGATTTATCCAGAGGCCTTCTGGCTTCTGTTGGCCCCGGGGCCTCCGATTTGTACAGGGGCCCTCTGTTAGCACAGGGGGATTCTTATATGTAAAACGGACCTCTCGTAAGTACAGCGGGCCTCTTATTTGTCCAGAGGGTCTCCAATTTGTACATGAGACTATTGTTGGTACAGCTGGGTTGCACAGGAGCGCCTTGGGCGGACCATGCTCTGCATTGTGGAGCTGTTTGGTTGTGTCCTTGTGCTCAACAATGTGATCTCAAACAATCGACTCAAGGACCTTACACGGGATTGCAGTTAGACTCACTGGCCTGTAGTTGGCAGGAGATTGCTTGTTGCCTTTCTTGAATATTGGGACAATAGGTACCCCCTGACTTTCAGTCCAGGCCAGGGGTGGTTCTGCTGTCTGCAACAACTCATTGAACAGCTGTGTCAGTGAAGGAGCTATGCTATGAGCAGTCTCGGTAAGCATCAACTATCATAAATAAAATATCAACTATCAACAATAAAAGAAATCCAGAAACCCAATTGTTGTTGTTGAAGAGTTAGGGCGTGCAGCAGCTCAGAAATCCAGACTATAGGAAGTATAGGTATATATCTAAAATCAACACATTACCTTTTCCGCTCTCTCCCTCCTAGAGCGTTTCTTCAAGCAAATTCACTTCCAAGGGAATTGCAAGGCAATAGAACTCCGGGGAATTGCTTTATTTCAATTTGTCTTGGTATGCTTGTTAAATGCAAGGTTAAATGCTAATGCTCGAAGGGCCCCTGGCTGGGGGTACCTCTGCATACTGTGTTCTACATGAACCTGGTAATGCTTCAATCCCAAGTAGCGTAGCAACTTCGTAGCAGCTAACAATGTAAAGTGCATGTAAAGATGATGTAAAAGATGCTTTTCCTGCTGCTGCTGCTGCTGTGATGAATAGCACTATATGTCGCAGAAGCGCATTTTTTGTAAACAATAATTTCGACCTGTGTTCACTGATATCAATACATGTAAATCATATAACAATAACGGTATCAGTCAAGCATAGATATAAAGACTTTATTTGTATAGTCTATTGCAGACTATTGACTATCGCATAGTCTTTATTTCTATGCAGCCAAGGCTATGTAAACCAAATGTAAACCAAGGCCAAGGTGTATCAGCTCAATACCAGCTGATGCTTACCCTCTACTTTGGTAAGCATCAGCTTGAGCTGTATTGTCGAGAAGGTTTTGGGGCACAGATATGTATATCATGATTGGTGATATGCCCTGAGGGCCATGAGATGAATCACAATAATTGTAATAAAAAGATGACAGGCCTTCACTTAATATACCCTGGACAGGCCAAGGCCCGACAGGCGCTATTTTCATTTTGAGATACCGAATGTCAAAGCTGGATTTAGCATCTACAGACCTTTTTACATCATCTTAATTCTTTTGAGCCCTCAGGATTTTTCTGCACTTTTAATACAGGATGGCTGGAAACTATTATTTTGCCATAGTGGGTGACAAAGATAACCCAATTTTTGAAATGGAAATATCTCCACCAAGCAAAGAAGCCAAGGTGTGTACTTACTGTTTGATATTTGAATAAAACTTTGAAGGTGCTGACAGTTAGCTTGTATTTATGTATATATGTATGTATGTATGTATTTGTGTATTATGTGTTTTCTTTCCCTCCCCTCCCCCTCCCTCTGTGTTGTTTCCTGTTATTGCCAGTGTAACTTATGACAATCCTCATACCATTTCAGAAAGAAGATCACAGACATCTGAGCCAGTTTATTGCCCATGCGGCTCTAGATTTGGTGGACGAACAGATGTGGAGCACCTCAGCGATGTACCTCAAGGTGGGCTCTTGACCACAGACATATTCACTGCCCACTGGCACCCTGCTTGGGCTCTGGACCTCTCAGGTCTAGGTCTGTCTGGAAAATGGGAGGTAGCAGTTGTTCATCCCTTCTCACCTGGCTCTTCATGATGATTATGATTTAGTTTGAAAGGGTGCACCAGCACAGACTGGGAAAAAGATACAAGCTATGCTGAATATGTTTGGTGTAGTGGCAGGACTATGCCAAATATTTTGGCGTAGGTACGTACTTTGTAACTTCACATGCGCCGAATTCAGCGCATGGTGGCGGCTGAATTTTTCAGCGAATGTCGGTCACCGTTTTTTTTTTCGCCACACTGGTCAATATAGCAGCACAATCGCCCTGCAGGCGGCTCTGGAAAGGGCTCAGGACGAGACGTCCCCCGCCCCGGTCGTCGCTGCTCCGACTTACGAGCCGACCTCCACCCTCGGTGCGGAGATATGGAAGATCTTGCTGAATATTGCTGAGCGCCGTGAAATAGGTTATCCTGCAGTGGGCTTCTGCCCACTGCGGGATCGGGGGTGGTCGCCCACTCGCTGACCCGGGCGGTTCATCGTGCGGCCTCCCATCTGGTGGGCCGAATCTGGTTTTACTCTGGCTGGCTTCGTCATTTACTCCGGCCGAAGTACGGTCAAGGTCTGGAGCTCTACTGACCTGAGTGCTGACCCACGATCCCAGAGCTCGCCCGCACCACAGCCGGACTTATGCCGTATCAGCCGTGTCGTACCTCAACCGTACTTCAGCCACAGTAAGCCAGAGCATCTACGAAGCAACCGGATCTGGCTGTAGTACGCCGTGGCAGGGAACCGGACTTGAGCCGGACTTGGTGGTCCGAAACCATACCAACTCCGGAGCGCTACGGCAAAGACTGGCCAACCGGACTTGAGCCACATCGACCCAAACCCCCTGTTCTGACGGCGTTCCGTTTGCACCGGCCCAAATCTGGCACGTCGGAGTTGCCGGGACAAAACGGGCTTGGGCCAAATCAAATTGCTGGCTGGGCTCGCGTCAGTGGCGCGATAATGGGCCCGAGGCCGAGTCATTATTCAAGCCACCTTTCGGAAGCACGCTGACGCTCCCACCCCCGGAGAGGGCCAAGAGGCCGCATTTTCGGTGTATCAGATGAGTGCGGGCCACCGGGGCCGCACGCTCCAGTAAAAGCACCAAAGCGGCCGTCTCCCCTCCGTGGCGTGCCAGCAGTGCCCGGACAAACGGTGGCCCGCGGCGCTCTGCACCGTGAGCCGAGAAGAGGCTGATGTCCCGGAGCACGTGCTGTCCGGCGAGTGCGGCGTATGTCAGCTCACACTATTCGGCGTATGTCAGCTTACACTATCCGTGCGTTTCCAGTCTTTTTGTGTTTGTAGACGTTCAAACATGTGAAAGAAGAGCCTCTCAGACCATTAATCTCAGGGGGCTTTTATGGCCAGTATAAATAAAAGGGCCTCTCAGACCATCAGTCTCGGGGGCCTCCTTAGAACAGTGTGGATAGAGGGGCCTCCTCAGATTCACTATAGGACCTCTATGACCACCAGTCTCAGGGACCTGTGGCCAGTATGAATATAAGAGCCTCTCTGACCATCAGTCTCAGGGGCCTTTTCTGACTAGTGTGGATAGAGGGCCCTCCCAGACCACCGGTTTCATGGGCCTCCTGTGGCCAGTATGAACAGAAGGGCCTCACAGCCCATCAGTCTCAGGGGCCTCTTCTGCCTGGTGTGAATATGAGGGCCTCTAGATCATCAGTCTCAGGGGCCTCCTCTGCCTAGTGTGAATATAAGGGCATCACAGGCCATCACTCTCAGGTGACTCTTCTGACTAGTGTGGATAGAGGGACCTTCCAGACCACAAGCCTCAGGGTCTCCTGTGGTCAGTATGAATAGAAGGGCCTCTCAGTTTATCAGTCTCATGGGCTTCCTCTGCCTGGTGTGATTATAAGGGCCTCTCAGATCATCAGTCTCAGCCTCAGGGGCCTCCTCTGACTACAGTGTATATGGAGGGGTCTCCCAGACCATCAGTCTCAGGGGCCTCTTCTGACTATTGAGGATGTAGGGGCCTCCTCTGACTAGTGAGGGTAGGGACTAGGGGGCCTCCCAGACCGCCAGTGTCAGGGGTCTATTCTGACTAGTATGGATAGAGGGGCCTCCCAGACCGCCAGTGTCAGGGGCCTCCCCAGACCAGTGTGGATATTGGGGCCTCCTCAGATCCACTAGGGCCCCTCAGGCCATAAGTCTCAGAGGCCTCCGCTGACAAGTATGGATAGAGGGCCTCCTTGGACCCACAAGCGTCCCTTGGAGTCCGTGCGTGGGGATTCGTGGAACTTATTTTTACCGAGTTTGTTTATTCTGGAAGGTGACGACGTCCTCTCAACTCGAGACGGGAGGGCCTCGAGTAAAAAGTGGGGGGGGGGCCAAAACACATGGTTGCCCCCCCCCCCCACCTCAAAAAGTAGGTGGGCACTTGCCCACCTGCCCCCCCCCCCCCTGGTTCCTACGCCTATGCCAGTGACGGTTCGTAATAGAAAATTATTTTAATATGCCTTCTGATTTCATATATTGGTTAAGTTGCCTATCATGTTAATGTAAAATATATTGTAATGTGTATGGGCTATGGTTTTAAACATTGGGCTGGAACCAAAAGGGCATTCATTTCTCGTGTTTGCTTCTATTCAGGTGGTGGACAAGTTCAACGAATGGTTTGTCTCGGCTTTTGTTACGGCGTCTCGAATGCGCTTCGTTCTGCTCCATGACGTTAAGAACGAGGATGGGATCAAAAACTTCTTCATGGAAATGTATGAAACTTACATCAAGGTATGTGGTAATGGTAGCTTACTGATCACTAAGCAATATTATCTTCGCCATTGCTTTGCTGGTTTCTATTGATGGCAATGCAAGGCATTTACACAAATGGCAAATCATTTCAATTCTTACAAATGCATGCTGACTATTAATTGTCTTCCAACTCTGGACAATGCTTGTTTCAGCACTCGATGAATCCATTCTACGAGAATAATTCCCCGATCAAGAGTTCTGCATTCGACAAAAAGGCGCAAATGTACGGTCGAAAGTACTTAACCAGCTGATGAGGCTATTCGATCACGTACAGCACCAAAGGTCCGGACTGGAAGGTGTGACAGGTGTCAGCGATGGTCGTTATCTCGTGTCCCGCGCAGACCGGACAGCTGGAACACGGCCTGTGGCGATCGGCCTCCGACAGCAGCGCGCGCCAGCAGGGCCCCTGCAGCCAGTGCAGCCGCCGGAGCGGGCTGGGACCGCGGCGGCCGGGGCGACAGGCTCCCACACAGGGACTGGGACCGCTGGGACTGCCGGCGGCCTGGGACCGGGACTGGGACCGCTGGGACTGCCGGCGGCCTGGGACCGGGACTGGGACCGCCGGGACTGCCGGCGGCCTGGGACCGGGACTGGGACCGCTGGGACTGCCGGCGGCCTGGGACCGGGACTGGGACCGCTGGGACTGCCGGCGGCCGGAGCGGTAGGGCGGGGTCTGCGGCAGTATAGGGCGGGGTCTGCGGCAGTATAGGGCGGGTGTGCGGCAGTATAGGGCGGGGTCTGCGGCAGTATAGGGCGGGGTCTGCGGCGGTATAGGGCGGGGTCTGCGGCAGTATACGGCGGGGTCTGCGGCGGTAGGGTTGGGTCTGCGGCAATAGGGCGGGGTCTGCGTCGTTATGTCGGCAACATCCAGAGTGCTCCGACTTTTTTGTTATCGCGTGGTCGGTTTGACCACTTTGAAATGCATTATTCGTCTTTATTTGATATATATTGTTATAGTGTCTGGTTGGAGCATGTTTTCCTTTTGACCTCGTGTTCACTTCTGAAGTTTGTAACCCAAAGTGGCATTGGGCTTCCGGAAGTGTTACAGACTATACAGAGCCATTTGTCCAGCTTCAGGTCAATAACCATCATTATGTTTAAGAATCCACTCCCTCGAACAATAAAACTGTTGCGTGGGGCCATGCACTAGGTTGTTTTGCGTACCAACTCGCAACTCGTAGCGTAGTCTATACATGAGCTCCCCTGCAGCGTTGTTGGAGTTCCCCGTCCATTAAACTACATCATAGCTGGTCGTGCTTACACTTAAAAGTGTACGCACGATGCGCGCTGTTGAACGATGTCGATGCTGCCTGTCTATTGTTGAATACGGGTGGCTATGTTGGTGTGCCTACTTCTGTGTAATTTTACGGACTGCCATCGTCTGCGTCTGTCACCGGAAATGCATCTGCCGGCTCGGTTGTCAATTTTGTGTTATGCTCGCGATTTCGAAAAGCAATTGCTTAATCCTTGGCTGCATTTCGTTTGATATTTTTTAGTTCTATCTTTCCACTCGCAGTGAAATGGAAGCTATCGTTGCATTTTTAGGCTATACCTCTATGCACTTTATTCTGTTGTTCGTCTGTTGCACTTGCAAGTTCGTCTATTGACTGAGTTATACTACTGGTCCGGAAGTCGCAAGACTGAACTGAGGTCAGCTGGTCACCGGGGTCAGCTGGTCACTGAACTAACTGAGGTCAGCTGTCACTGAACTGAGGTCGGCAGGTCACTGAGGTCAGCTGTCACTGAACTGAGGTCGGCAGGTCACTGAGGTCAGCTGTCACTGAACTGAGGTCGGCAGGTCACTGAGGTCAGCTGTCACTGAACTGAGGTCGGCAGGTCACTGAGGTCAGCTGTCACTGAACTGAGGTCGGCAGGTCACTGAGGTCAGATGTCACTGAACTGAGGTCGGCGGGCCGGTCGCTGTTAAAGTAGTTGCTGTTGACTGGGAAGACGGGCGGTCACCTAGCGGTCAGTGGCAGCCGTCCCGTACGAGACAGATGGCGCTGCTAGCCTGGCGGCACGGGCTGCGACCACGCGTATTTTGAATTCACCATAGGGCTCAGCCATTCCTAGAGGAATTCTAGGCACCTTGGAAAAAAGCGAAATCGCGCTAGGGATTTCAGCCGATCTGGCAGCTCTTCCGATGCCACTGGCGCGCCTTTTAATCCAAAGCGCCTTTTTCGTGTCTCATGTTTGCTCGTTTATTGCGGAGGCCTATATATGCTTCAAGATGCTGGAAAAGGTTGGTGATTAATAAGTATTTCCATTTTAGGTGCATGTTCTTTGCAAGAAATACAGTTGTTGTTGCTGTTGTTGTGGGTTAGGGCGCAAGAAATACAGGTATATGTCAACTTTAGGTCCTAACTATAACTGTGACGCTGTTGATACAAATCTGTAACAGCAAAAAAATTATGTTTTAGGTTACGTTAGGTTGTAAGTTTTAGGTTGCATTGTAGGTTTGTAGGTAGTAGATTGGTAGGTTATAGGTGAAAAGGTAAGGTTAGTTCAGGTTTGATTATGTTTTTCTTTTAGTTACGAGACATATAAGTATCATTTTTGGATTCAGGATGTCAAATAATGGTCGGAAACACTAAATTCAAAATTAACTAATTTTGAAGCGGGGACCTCCATGTGTATCGGCCAAATAATGTAAGAATATGAAAAAAAATTATCCATGAAATCTGCTTAGGACTTAAACTTGACATTTACCCACATGGCTATAGGTATCACCAGCAGAATTATAATCTTTACATAATTTAAAAAAAATGCTGTAAGTGAAGATTATGAGTCGTGTAACCATTGTTACTATATTGATATTAAATATTGAATAGGTACAAGTCCGCCACCAACTTTATGGAACATTCCTTCTTCCAACAGGATCACTTCCAAGTAATCTGGAAGGCTGATGCCAAGTACATCTTGTGCGAGAAGCTTGATATGATTCCTGACCTGGAACCGGTGAGCATCAAATATAGCAATTTGCTTAAAGCAATAGCAATTGCTGATGATGGCAATTTCAATTTGCAGTAACACATATTATATGTAATTGGTTTGAGCCATGTTGCAATCATTTTATAAATGAAAACTTCCATTTTTAAAATGGAACTATCAACTTTCCCCACAGGCTTCGGTAACAAAGTTTTATCAATTGTGAATGACAATATTATTGGTATGAGTGGTGTGTGCGGTGATCTGTATTTGAATATAACGCGTCTTGTCACTAAGTATTTGTCATCTGCATTATAGCTGACTATTACGGTAATACGATCGTGCATTGGTCCCAGACAAGAATACCCCAGTGAGACCTTGCATTATTTCGTTTCAGGAGTTGATGGAGGGCACCACTGTGGCCTACCGATGTCCGGCGTCAAAGGAATCGGCCCTGCAGTGGATTCAGCTGTACCAAGAGGCCGCCAACATCCCCCTGACGACGTACGACTCCATGTCGAATGGCCAAAGGGTGGTGTACTGGGTGAGAGCTTTAGTTTATGAAATACCAGTTTGGGCTCGCCGTGTAAAGCTCGGCAGGGGGGTACTTTTGCCCGAGCACTCGACCTGTGCCCGCCAATGGAAAATTCTGCTGGTGCAGAGCCTCCTGAGGGTTCAGCAAAGACCCGCCGTATGAAAGCCTGTCGGGGTCTACTGACAGAGGGCCCGGCGGCCTGGGCTCGCTGCATGAATCCCCAGCTTGATGCCGCGTACTGAGGACCAGTCATCCAGCCGTCATACCGGGTGTCTCGGAGGACTGGACGGGCACCTACCAGCGGGCCCGCTAGATTTCGGGAGGGTCAGCTGACCCCTTTGTCCCCCTGACTCCTCCCTGGGTGCGCCACTGCACCCAGTAACTTTGACTCTTTTATATCGCAGGAAGGTGCGGGTTAATGAAACACCATGATCAGGGTCAGTTAAAAAGGTAACGTTTTTAAATCGAGAAACTTTCATCCTCATTTAAATGACGGACTAATGAGTGGCAATTGATTTCATCACTTTTGTTAATGTTGTCAATTTTTTTTCAGGCCAGGCTTCGTTGTCACCACGACGTCCCAGAAAAGCCGAGTCGTCCGAGGAAAAACCAATCCGCCAAGGACACCGGGTGCCCCCTGCGCCTGAAAGTGACTGTCGCCAACATTCCAAAACGGCAAGTTTCTCACCGTCTTTTGTCATTGGCACCTTTTACCAGGGCTGCGGAGTCGACCCAGCTTTAGCCAACTCCGACTCCGACTCCGGCCTCACAAAATCGACTCTGACTCCGACTCCGACCTATTAGTTCTGGAAAGCATTTATTTGGCCCTTTGGTTCACCGAACCAGTGCAGAGACGTGAACTTCGGGAGAAAAGAAAAGGCTGATCAAAATCGTAGGTCGATTTTGTTGTCTGACCACTTTGGATCATCGGGATAATTGCCATTTTGCTTTCACCAGACAACAATTTCACTTGATGAAAGGCGATTTTCGGACTACATGGCCGGAGTCGGTAAAATCTTATCGACTCTGGCCAAGAAAAAAGATCGACTCCGACTCCGACCAAAACTGTTGACTCCGACCGACTCCGACTCCGACTCCGCAGCCCTGCTTTTTACAAACGCCTTAGTTGATCAAACGATCAACCGCAATTGAAAAAAAACTACATATTTGATGAAGGAGTTCGCTGCCGAAAAGATTTCAAGTCGCTATCTTTCTTAGTTGTGCCAATCTTGGCTCAGAAAACTAAAAACGGTGATAATCCGAAACATTTCACCTCGCTCGTTCCTTGCCTCAAAAGGTTTCTTGCTGGTACCTTATAAAAGTGCGTGGAAGGAGCGGAATTTCTTCTGAATAACACCATCGTCTCGTGTTTTTTTATATTTGTTGACGAATCCTCCCTTTCCAGGAATAGGTCTACAGACCCATGCGCGGCTTACGAGCTACGGGTGACATGTAACAAGAAGCCCCACAACCACGCCGTGGACAACGCTGCCGCTCTGAGACATCGACGCGTCTCTGAGCTGACGAAGGCCCGGCTGATGGAGCTGTTCCAGCACCACCACTCGCCCTCCACGGCGCTGGAGACCCTGAAACTACAGCTTCAGGAGAAGCATGGGAGCGCCTACCCGTCGGTGGCCGCAGACCGAGCCATTGTCCCAGATAGGATGGCCGTCTACTAGTAAGTTTTTAACAGCTTGATGCAAAGCCACACTGCCACAAGTTAGCAAGTCTGTAGGGACAGTATCTGAAATAATTAGACTTTCCCTATAAAGTTACACATGATTCTCATATATGAGATGCAATTGATCGTTACACGGAGCAGAGATGATAGGGCTACTCAGAAAAGAAGGCCGCATGTCTGGGATATGTGGTTGCGATCCGAGACTGATCTGGCCATTGACAATTTTTGGGTCCCCTATTGCAATCTGCCTGTTTTCGTGTCACATCCAGTTCTACTGTTATCTATGAATTGTGTTGTGCTAAAAACTCGCAACATTTTACGCTGCGATAAATGCACTCTGGTTTAGTAAAAGCTATCGATAATCATATTACGTACGCCTATGTGTCAGGGTCATTTCCGTTTTCCTGCTATTCGTGAAAAACCTGAAGGGGAATGGCGTCTAGACGCCCCCCTTCCGGCCCAGCGCAGGTTAACATTATTTTCACCTTGGATTTGTGTAATTCAATGCGCTGAGGGGTAAGCTATATTTTGATTGGGACGAATCAGGAACAAGTGGGACAGCTGAAGCTTAACCATAAGTACACTGTTATGCAATCGGTATTTTATCACAAAATGAAACTGACCACCACTTGCAGCTGGAAGTCAATTGACAATGCAATGTGTTTTCAGCCTGTACTACAAGCACTGTCGGGAGCGTTACCCAGCCTCGACCCAGGAGGAGACCATGGACCTCATCCGCCACATGAAGGACGTCCGCACGGCGGTCTCAGTCGAGGACGGCGAGACGGTGATCGCGGCGGTGACGCCGCTGATGGAGCGCGTCCACACGCTCCCCGACGCGGGAGAGGTGGTCTTCGTCGACGCCTCAGGAGGGATGAACCGGCACGGCCAGCGCGTCTTCCTGCTGATGTGCTGGAGCCCGGCCGGTGGTCTGCCTCTCGGTGTCATCGTCTCCACCTCGGAGACCGAGGCCGTGGTGGACAAAGCCTTCCGGCTGCTCGTCGGGATTTTACCAGACGGTACGATATACCTACATTTGCCATGAATTCCCATATCTGGCGGCTAAACTCTGAATTGTCCAGTCAGTTGTGCATTGGTGTATAAAATCCAATATCGTGTTTGACCGAGAATGCTTCTTTGACAGGCGCCTTTGGCGGGCGTGGAAGGCGCGGCCCTCTGTGCTTCATGACGGACGACTGTCAGGCCGAGCGGAACGCGCTGTCGGCGGTGTGGCCTGAAGCGCGGCTCCTGCTGTGCACGTTTCACGTGCTGCAGGCCGTCTGGCGATGGCTTCACAACGGCAAACATGGCATCGACAAGCAAGTGAGTAGTTTCTACTGGGAATGAATTTCCGTTCATTTTTGTCTAATTACCCCTTTTTGAGAAACACAGAGAGAGAGCGAGAGAGAGAGAGAGAGAGGGAGAGGGAGAGAGGGAGGCACAGAAAGAGACAGAGACATAGAGAGAGGGAGGGAGAGAGAGAGAGAGAGAGAGAGAGAGAGAGAGAGAGAGAGAGAGAGAGAGAGAGAGAGAGAGAGAGAGAGAGAGAGAGAGAGAGAGAGAGAGAGAGAGAGAGAGAGAGAGAGAGAGAGAGAGAGAGAGGCAGGCAGACAGCTGGGCAGAGGCAGGCAGAGGCAGGCAGTCAGGCATAGACAGACATAGGCTGGCAGTCAGGAATAGACATGCAGTGATACTGGTCTAAAGGCTGTAAAAGAACGTAAATGAGTTTGATTAATTTCATCTCAAACACCCCGTATATTTACATTTACCTTCACCCTTCACCCTTCACCCCTCCCGCCTCCCACACTCGGATACCAGTTAAATTGTGCATTTTCTTCCAGCACAGGCAGGCTATCATGGCACTAGCCAAGCAGCTCGTGTACGCCAACAATGAGGCGGAGATAGCGACGACGATGGAGCTGGTGGCTACCGAGTGGGGCGAGCGCTACCCACTGCTGGACCAGTACCTGCAGGGTTTCGCTGCCCGCCGTCAAGAGTGGGCGCTGTGCCTCCGCACGGATGTCCCCACCCGGGGACACAACACGAACAACATCGTGGAGTCCGCCTTCAGAGTCCTCAAAGACTCCGTCCTCTACAGGTCAGTCTTTATTCATATGTTTCACCTAATTGCGGTTCAATAAATAAAACAGTTAACCTGGCGTTCATAGACAAACCTGTCTTTTAACTAAAGTTGATTGTAAAACTGTTTCGGTGACCGGAGGTATTGCAATAGATTCATTACTATTTTAAAATATTTCAAGTTGTAAGGTTGCCCAAAAGTGGCAAATGTTGAAGAAATGTCAAAGTTGCAGTTACAGACAAATTCCAATTAATAAAGACAAATAATTGGAAAAAAGCCAAAGCAGGGGAGTAGTTTTTCCTTTCAATATAGGTCGGAGGGCTGAGAGTGAGCCGGTAAAATGTTCTCGAAAACACCATCAAAATCCCTAGGACTGTGCAATTCTCCCCAGTGTCTGCCAGAGTTCAGAGCCTGAAGCCCCCGAAACGGAATTGGACCATACATCCCTTCGTCAAAGACGTTAATTACTAACTTGTGACTTTCATGGATTAACACGGATTAACTTGTGAATATCACGGTTTTACATTTCTGTTAACCCTACATGTGGAAGAAAAACAAACTTTCGCATTTCGGGTAGGTTGTGAAATTGTTAGTTGTGCTTTTGGTTGCTCTTCTGAAAGCCTTATTGTGTCCATACGCTGGCAGTCTACCGTTAATTATAGCTGCAAAGAAATTGTTGAAATATTCGCTTGACACGCGCTGTTTTTCCAGGACTCGGGCGTTCAACCTGCTGCAGCTGTTTGATTCCGCCACGGTCCAGCTCAGCAAGCACTACGCCAGGAGGGCGTGCGACGTGACCAACGGCCGGCAGCGGGCGGCACTGCGCCGGTCCGCGGCGGCACCAGCCAAGAAACGGGCACTGTGACGCAGGTATTTTGCATGACACGAGAACTGATTAAGGTCACATAAGACAGCTCGTTTTCCAATGCTGGTCCCACCCGTACTGCCACATGGCTGTGCAAAGTGACCAATGCAATCGGCGCGCCCCTAAGCACCAATAAACCAAATGGCTGTGCATTCACACACAAGAGTCTGTCACTGTACCGCTGTGCCACTGTAGGGCCGCGTGGTGTTGGCGCTGTGTGCCACATCTCGTGACTCGTTTCGCGTTTTTTTTTTCTTGTTTCTTCTTTTTTCCCTTTGGGGGTCTGTTTTAAAAGGCCAAGCTGACAGTACTGGGGCGAATGAACAGGTTCGGATTTTCGTACAAGTAACCGTCCGTCAGTTTATGTTGTACAGTCTGTCTTAAAAGTCCGCGAAAAAGCAACGGTGGATCCATCAAGCCTGACCGAGGAAGGGCCTGCTCAATTTGAGTCATCAAAGCAATTGATATTCTCGTCCATTCCCCAGGTCAATTGGTTCGGTGACTTTCAAAGTAAAGCAGGCCTTTCTTCAGTAAGGCTTGATGGATCCACCGTCACTTTGCGCGGTACTTTTAAGACAGACTGTACATACGAATTTTACAGGATTTTATGTGTTGCCCCTCCCACAGGTGACGGAGTTCACCTATCAGGTGAAGTCGCTGACGTCGGTCGGCATCACCTACCTGGTGGACCTGAACGTCGGCGCCTGCACCTGCAGGATGAACCGGCGGACTGGCGGCTGCAAACACCTCCGAGCCGTGCGGCAGCAGACTGGCGCTGTGCCGGAGGCGACGGCGACAAAGGAGACGCGGAGGGCCTTGATGGACATCGCCATGGGGACCAGCCAGCAGCTGCCAGGCAACTGGTTCGACCCTCTGGTCGCCGAGCCGTCCACCTCGTCACCTCCTGGCCCCACGCCCGCCAGCGCCCCCGGAGTCGCGCAGCCCCAGCCGTCGCCTGGTCCCGAGGAGTACGACGACGACGCAATGGACTTCGAGGACCCCGCCGCTGCGGCGGCGGCTGTCAGTGGAGCTGAGCAGCGACGCTCAGATGACCGGACACGCCAAACCGTGGCGTTCATCCAGGAGTGGGCAGCCTTCATGTGCGAGGCAGTCGTCCAGGACGACACCTGGGAGAGGGCTGCCGCTGCCTTCCAGCAGAGGTGGGGCCAGCTGCCCACTGCTGGCCGCCAGTCCGCTCTGCACCAGTTTGGGGGTGCGCAGGGCTGCCGGCGGAACGCCACCCAGATTCCGGTCCAGCCGACCAGCACTGCCCGTCGCACCAGCACCAACGTGCGGGGTCGCGCTCGCTGGCCCGCTGGACGGCCGTGCCGCTCCGCGCGCACCGGGGAGCACGGCTACGTGGCAGCCTCCGCCAGGCGGTCGGCGGCGCCCCACAGCCTGGCCACCTGTGTTGACCAGAACCGCCCCCTGGGGCGCTGAGTGGTAGAGGTGAAGTGGGGGTGACCGGGGCAAGTTGGTGCCAGGGGGGGGGGGGTAAGTTGGGACGGAAGGGATATTTCCAATACTTCTCGACAGTTGGCGTTCAAACTTATTTTGTACATGCACAGTAACGCCGTCTGTTTGTCAACGTGGTGTCGGCGCGTGCTGAGGTAAGTGCTGTTAATAATCGCTACAAATGTGTTTCAGGTACCAAAAGTGATTTTCTTGCTGTGAAAATATTCTCTTCTAGTGTCGTTGTGTGTGCCTTTTTGTTTGCCGCAGGAGTACTGCAAACGTTTGTGTTTTGTCGTTAATGCCCGCATGGATTAGCGATGATTGTTCATGTGAAACATGAATAAAAATGTGTTTAGATAAACTGTTTTTCCTAGTGTACCAACTTGCCTTAGGCCCTGGCCCAACTGACCCCCCGCCGCGGGGTAAGTTGGGACATTGGAGGATGGCCGCTTTGATCAGATATGACACCAAGACGATGCTACCATCTCTCTTATATTAAGTCTTCTTTAAAAGATAAAGAAATCAGATCTCAGTTAATAGCCAACAAATAATGATGTATAGTTATACCGAAGTTATGACGCTTCAAGCAATAACTGGCTCAACTAGCGTTAGCGGAATGACGCAAAATTAGCAGGTGACCAGTGACCACTCCCAGTTCGCTAATATGTTTGCATCATTAACATACCTTCCACTATAAGCACGGTTTCTCAATCTTAACATAAAATATAACATCTTTTCATGTAATTTGCATCTCTAATATACCCCAGTCAAACTTGCATCACTAATGTAGTGGAGGACTTCTTGGGACGAATTAGTTTCTAGGGACTTACACATTTATGCTCATTTCCCCACATTTGTCGCCAGGGGGAGAATTCCACAGAATTTTCCGCTAGGAGTGGCTGAGCCCTATGGTGAATTCAAAATACGCTGCGACCACCTGCTTGGGCGGCCACTCTGAACTCAGCTTGTACTCCTAGTTTCACGATCAGGCGGTAGATGGCAACACCTCCGCCGCCAGACTAGTTCAGTGGACTCTGAACCGGGCGGATCCATTACGGCACTACCCATCGATCAGTCACCACTCACCAGTCACCACTCACCAGTCACCCCACCCAGCCAGTCACCACTCACCAGTCACCCCACCCAGCGCTGGTCGGTGATAACGTCCCGGCGCTCTGCAACTAGAGGCTGGTGTTGTCCAGTGCTGATGTCTGATGAAAAACACCCCATCACATTGTCTGTTTTAATGGTAGGCTTAGTTACAGCGAGTAAATTACGGATGGGATTCAACCCGTGTGTGCGAAAAGGCTCAACTATTCAAAAGAGAAGCTCAGGCTCTGGGAGAATACAGGGATCCCAAATGACAGCTCGCGGTACCGGCTGTGCCGTTATGTGCGCCGTCCGCTGGCGCCGTCCCGTCGAGCGGTTCTCCCGTTTATGAGCGTGCTGTGGCTCTGTCTGTGGGCACGGCTGGGCGGCGCCGTCCGGTGCACGGCTGGGCCAGTTCGGCGCCCCTGCTCGCAGCACGGGAGTCCGTCTCCTCGCGGCGGGACGGCCGCGGCGACTGCAACTCCGTGTCATCCGGCGGGACGGCCGCGGCGACTGCAACTCCGTGTCGGCCAACACCCGGCGGGCCGGCCGCGGCGACTGCAACTCCGTGACACCCGGCGGGCCGGCCGCGGCGACTGCAACTCCGTGTCGGCCAACACCCGGCGGGCCGGCCGCGGCGACTGCAACTCCGTGTCATCCGGCGGGACGGCCGCGGCGACTGCAACTCAGTGTGGGCCAACACCCGGCGGGACTGCAGTTCCCAACAGCGCCCTAACGGCCACCTCGGTGCTAACTATATCTGAAAAGCTTAGCGTGTTTTGGCGCACCTGGCACTGCGATATTGGAGACGCCTGTTATATCGTAGGCAATGTTAGGTGTTTTCCTTAGCCTATTTTGATGTGTGACGTCTGTTATAACTTATGAGACACGTGCGGTCACCCGGGCGTCCCGCTACCCCCGTACGGGCGTCCCGCTACCCCCGTACGGGCGTCCCGCTACCCCCTTACGGGCGTCCATGCCACCCCGTGCGACCGTTTCATGCGACACATGGAGGGTCGTCTCTAGAGATGTCAATCGGATACCAACTTTTTGGTATACCGATACCAAACCGATACCAACTTGGTATTTGGTATTTCAATTGTAATGTGTTTGGTATTTTGTTGGTATCATAAACCCTCACTAATGTATAAGAGGCTAAGAAATCGGTAAAAAGTTGGTATTTCTCTCATTTTCCCAAATTGATTTGGCTTCGGTATTTTCCCGTGGTTTTGGTTGGTATTTGGTTTGGTATCGGTATTCCGATTTTCCGTAATTGACATCACTAGTCGTCTCACTACCCCCGCCCGGTCGGCGTCCGGTCGGTGCAGTGAGCAGCCCGCGCTCGGGCCGTGTGTTGGCGCCGAGTAACGGGCCGGCTGGGGCCGCACCTGTCGGATGGCGGCCCTCCTCTCCTCGGCGTCTCCGGCCTGCTGGAGATGGCGGCGGGCTACCCGGGAGGCCCGGCCGCCGCCGGTCCCGAAGGCCGACTGACTGACACCGTTTGGGAACAGCCCCCGGCGGCCGAAGTCACCAGAGTATACATAGAAAACATCGGAGTCACTGCCCGCTGTCCACGGAGGAGCACTACGGACCGTATGAATCAGCGGCGGCCCACCCGCGCCCGGAGCCGCCCGGAGCTGACCGGAGCTGACCGGAGCTGACCGGAGCCGCCCGGAGCCGCCCGGAACTGACCGGAGCTGCTCGGAGCCCCGCCCGGAGCTGACCGTCGAGGTGAAACGACCGGTTTTTCGGTGTTTGTGTCTGAATTCGGTCGAGGTCTCCATTGGTCAGGCCGCGGTCTGAGGCACGACTGCTGGTCTCTGGTCAGTCTCCTGGTCTCTCGGGTGTACCTCCAGAGTCCAATCTCCGGGTCTCTCGGGTGTATCTCCACTCTCCAGAGTCCAGTCTCCCGGTCTCTCGGTTGTACCTCCAGTCTCGGGGTCTCTCGAGTGAACAGGCTGTAGCTACTAAGTAGCTCCGTTTCAAACCGTCTCACAGCGGCTTAGGTGCCTTTTGACCTAAGCGTTCGGTATCCTAGAATGACGGTATAGGTATGCCTATGTTTACAATAACCATAACGGCACAGTGTGATCTAATTTTGTAGGCTTTTGTCACTATCATGTGTGGGAGCCCGCAGTCCAGCTGGGCGACGTGGTCAGTAGGTATGCGGCAGGTCAGCTCTACACACGGGGTCAGAGGTGGCGGGGTCAGCGCGTGCGGCAGGTCAGCTCTACACGCGGGGTCAGAGGGTGGCATGGTCAGCGCGTGCGGCAGGTCAGCTCTACATACACACTGGGTCAGAGGGTGGCATGGTCAGCGCGTGCGGCAGGTCAGCTCTACACACGGGGTCAGAGGGTGGCATGGTCAGCGCGTGCGGCAGGTCAGCTCTACACACGGGATCGGACATCGGTGCGTGCGGCAGGTCAGCTCTACACACGGGGTCAGAGGGTGGCATGGTCAGCTCTACACACGGGGTCAGATGTCACGCCGGAGTGACAGCGCCTGGTAGTCGCCCACCGCGGACTGCGGCGCCAGCGGGACTGTCCGTCCCACCGGGGAACACGCCTGGTCGGCTGGGTCGGCTCAGGTCACAGGTGACAGGTGCTGCCGGTACCTGCCCGCCAGCAGGTCAGGGCGGACCTAGTTTGGCGTGTTCCGGTCACGCGGGAACGTCGAGCGACCACCGCTCGTAACTGGCTGCTGGCGCTGAGCGGTACCGGAGAGCGCTGGATGGGGGCTCATCCCGGGACGCCAGGTCACCGTCAGACCACATCCCGGGACGCCAGTCACCGTCAGACCCTACCAGCACAGGTCAACTGAGCGGTCGTCGTCCCAGGTCAACTGAGCGGTCGTCACCCCAGGTCAACTGAGCGGTCGTCACCCCAGGTCAACAGAGCGGTCGTCACCCCAGGTCAACTGAACGGTCGTCACTCCAGGTCAACAGGCGGTCGTCACCCCAGGTCATCTGAGTGGTCGGTCCAGGTCATCTGAGCGGTCGGTCCAGGTCAGCTGGGTGGTCGGTCCAGGTCAGCTGAGTGGTCGGTCCAGGTCAGCTGGGCGGCGCAGTTCTGCCGGTATGTCCGGTGATTCACTGACCGCGCGGCGCGGAGCTGCCGGCTACTGGCGGCTGACCGGGCGGGCGACCACTTCCCAGCCGGCACAGCGCGCCGGCCGCCGACCCGCGCCACGTGACCGGCCGCAGCGGCCACGGCGCCGCTCACGTGACCGGCCGCAGCGGCCCGTTACAGCCGGACGGCCGAGCGGGTCGACGAGTCGGCGGCGGCGACGGTGCGCAGTCAGTCGACGACCGACGCCAGAACGGACCACAGGTGAGGAGAGGAGGGCCTGTGGGCGCCGAGACCGGCGTCTGCACTCGGTCGGCCGCCGCTCCCCCGTCCCCGCCACCTGCCGCTCAAACTCACTGAGCTCTAATGGCTGTTCTCGGCCAATGTGCCGATAAGCCGTGTGCTGATTTATTATTCTTTCGTTTTGGCTGTTATTGTCCCGATTAGAAATAATTTCCGGTGAAATGAAAATATCAATGTGTAAGACGATCGCAATTCACCCAGTATTAAAAATTTGCTTTCATTCACTCGTCAATATAACTAGACTTACGTTGATTTCATATGCCGGTCCTGAAAGGCACGATCCTTTACCATAATGACCGATAGGTAAGCCTGCCCTTGGGCAGCCGAAGCTTCATTCCGGGACATTACACAGGCCCGGCGTCTCTCACCGCGGATTCACTATTACCGTAACATTTTAGGAGTCACCCTGTAAGTACGTGTTTTCTTTACCCATTCCGTCTGTGTTTGCAGTGAATCGCACAAGTATGGCAGGCCTGCCTGCGTTTGAAGTGGGTTCCGCCGCGGCGACGGCGGCGTCGGCGACGACGGCCTCTGGCCTGGCGGCGGTGGAGCCGTCCGTGGACTCTGTCACCACACTCTCCGTGCTGCTGATGAGTGAGTGACCTCCTCCGTCGTACCTTACCGGGGGAGGGGAGGGGGGTCAGCGGCCGCGGATTAGTGACCTCCGTCTCACCGGGGGAGGGGGGGGGGGGGGGTCAGCGGCCGGGGACTAGTGACCTCCGTCTTACCGGGGTCGGGGGAGGGGGGAGGGGTCAGCGGCCGGGGACTAGTGACCTCCGTCTCACCGGGGTCGGGGGGTCAGCGGCAGCGGACTAGTGACCTCCGTCCCACCGGGGGGGGGGTCAGCGGCAGCGGACTAGTGACCTCCGTCTTACCGGGGGGGGGGTCAGCGACAGCGGACTAGTGACCTCCGTCTTACCGGGGGGGGGTCAGCGGCAGCGGACTAGTGACCTCCGTCTCACCGGGGTCGGGGGTGACAGTGACTGCTCTCCTTCCCTTGTGCGTGCGCGGACCGTTCTGTTGGCATAAGTTTGGTGTCAACGAAAAGCGTACCGTTTCACACAATTGCAATCGCTCATGTCACGCCACACTATAAGCAGAATAGGCGGGAGTGCCTTTACTATTCTCAAGTTGACGATTCTCTTCCATTAGCTACCAGCATTGAATGCCGTCACGGTTTTCGTGAATATGTCGTAATGCCGTATGTACCGTTATCATTCACCCTGGAGAGTGGAGACGTAACCCATACCTTAATGAGATAAGATGAGATATGATAATGAGAAGTGTATGGTTTAATTTACGGTGTATCGAGGACCTTGGACCTTGGCTTGTTTTCTCACTCATCTGTTACAAGTCAACAGGCCTAAACCCAAAACAACAACAACAACTGTTACAGCAGCAAAATGAACGACACTCGTCAACGATTAGCATCCCGTATATTTCTACGCTCGCTTTGTTTGACAATTTGGTGTGAACTCATGGCAGTCAAAGTTTCAATAACGCGGTTCGCTTCACGCGTTGGACCATACGTGGATGGGCCGTTTTATGTAAGTCGCTCGCGATGCGCCGTAAGTCTCTGGTTCTTTGTCTCCCTGCCTCTCTGGATGCCACGGTCGGTGGAGGTAATGCTCGCTATGTAGGTCAGCGCAGTGCGCGCCTCACCCATCTGCCGCCGCGCGCGCGCGCGAGCGGGCCCGTTCTTCCGGCGCTCGCGCGGCGTTTTTGGAGGCTGAGCCGGCGGCGGCGCGGCGGAGCGGGTCGGGCCCGGTGTGGCCGGGCCAGTGGGCCGCGCCGCCACCCGTCTTCGGTCGGCGGCGGCGGCTCGTTAGCGCCGCCGGGCGGGGGCGGCGCACCGTTAGCGCTCCTCTAACGGTGGTGCCGCCAGCCGCCGGCTGCCGAGCGGTGCCAATCGCCGGGAAAACACTCAGCCGGCGCCCGGCGGCGGGACGTGAGGTCGACCGTGACCGGTGGCCGGCGCGACTGGTCACCGGTCAGCGGACAGTCAGCGGCCACCCGTCCAGTTCCCCGGCTCGGCGGGCACAGACGCTGCTTTGCAAATGCACGGACGCCGCGGTGGACAGCGGTCATGGCCGGTCATGAGACGTCAGGGCCAGTGGTTGCGAACCCTCGTATTGTGCACTGCGGGCGGGCTGACCAGCCATGAGCCGCCCGACTGCACGTCGTCTTCCATGGCCCGGTATACCCGGCGCTGGGGTGGTTTCGCGTCGTTGGCCGTACGGGGCGCGGCCAGGCCGGTGCAGTGTGGGGTCGGCGGGTGGGTCTGAGAGGGTAGCGACCGCCGTGGCCGCTACACGCTGGGAGAATGTTTGCCCGTTGGCCGTTATTGTAACGCGTCATCCGACCTCTGCGTCTGCACTGCCCGCTCGGCCGCTTCTCTGCCTGAACCCACTGTCCGCCTATCGTCAGACACAGCGCCATCGGGTCCGGGTGGAATACGGTCTGCGCCTCCTGGTACGTGGACGACCTTGAGGTCTACTCGGCCATTCCATCGGGATATTTGTGTCACCGGTTGACCCGCGAATTGCCGGAGATGCACCGCAGGGTGGCGGGTGGCAGGGCGCCGCTGTTTACCGCCAGCAGGCGCTGTGTGCGCCGCGGACACAGGTGTGACCGGGCGCGGCGCCGCGGCCGGGCGGCCGGCCGGCCCGTTAGTGGGTCGGGCGGACTGTGCAGCGGCGGTCAGTGACCGCGCACGACCGGCCGGCGCTCCGACGGGCCGTCCGGACCAGCACAGCAGGCACCGGCCGCGCTCCGGCGCCACTGCCAGCACCAGTCACACCGGAAAAGCAGCCCTCTCGGTGGCCTGGCCTCGCTCGGACCGGGCAGTGGCCGGTAGCAGCTCACCAAAGCCGATCTAAGGCGCACCGGAAGGAACTCTGGGCCTTACGTGCGTCAGTTCGGCCGGTTTGACCGGTCAGGTCGGCCGGTTTGACCGGCGCCTTGTCGGCCCAATTGACCGGCGCTGTTCTGGGTCGGCTGAGCCCCACTGTGACCTCGGTAGTCCAGAGTCCTCCCCAGCCCCCCCCCCCCACACACACACACACATCCGGTTCCACCGCCCGCGTTCATGCAGTGCGGGTCAGCACTGACAGTCCACCGCGCCGCCGCCGGCCACCTTCACCGTCACGCCTCCCACTGACCTTTTTGCAGTCACACATTTATGATTTCACCTCGATAAATGGGTTATGAGCATTGTTAGGAGGATTAGTGACGTGTTGGCGATGAGACAAAGAATATCACGAGAACACGCTAATCGGCTGGGCGGCTGTGTGCCGTTCCAAATCCAGTCGTCGTCCCTGTAACCCAGGCTGAGCAGGTCCCGGCTGACCGGTCCCGCCCCGTGCCCGTGTTTCAGTGGCCTACATGGCCCGGGCGACGTTCCCCAACTTCTTCAAGTCGCTGCTGGACGAGCGGCTGCTGGCGATGGCCGGTCTCACCACGCCCAACAGCACGACTGCACAGTGAGTGACGCCCGCCCCGCCGCCCCTCACCCGGATTGGAATGTAACTACCCCCTCGGAAGGTGACAGTGCCGTCCGGGAATCGGACGACGGTCCTACAATGTGTTCAGTGCTGTCATAACTATTTATAAGCTGCTGTAGGACCACATAACTAATACTATTCATGGCCCATAAATTCAAAATACCTTCACTTAATTTGTGTTAAAGACGCGAGGGCTGCGATTTTCTCTCGAACACGACACGAGCGGGTTTATGTAGAACCGAGAGGTTCTCCAGAGGTAGTGTTGTGTGTACCCGCGCGCCGCGGCGGCATGTCGGCCGCAGTGGTCGGCGCTAATCCCAGTATATCCGTGCCGCCGCCGCGGCGTGTGGGCCGCAGTGGTCGGCGCTGACCCCGGTGTATCCGTGCCGCCGCCACAGGAAGTCGCGCGTCGAGGAGGAGGACGAGTGGTGGCACTTCCCGATCCACCTGCTGGCGCTGTGGCAGATGCGCCACCAGCCGCACCAGCAGGCCTGCGCGCGCCGGCTCGTCTGCGACCACGTCACCGCCGGAACGCCCGACCCCTTCTTCGACTTCGCCATGTGAGTGCGCAGCGGGACGGGCCCGGGGCAGCCGACGGCCCTCGGGGACAGGCCCACAGAGCACCAGTCTCCCAGACTGAGGACGTTAGCCTGGTGGTTATCATCAGTGTACGGCCCTCCAGCAAAAGAGTGGTTGGTTAGCCTATGTGCTTTTGGTGTAATAACTTTAAATGACAGAGACACTCCTGTAAAATGACTCAATAGAAATGAGAAGAGGGTTCGTGCACACATTTCGGCAGTGGTTTTCAACAGCCATTGGACGCATTCATCAATGCAGATCGATTATTGTGATGTATCAGCAACCAACCACTTAATACCTGGAGGGCCGTACACCCGTAGTGTATATGTCTGTACACCCGTAACACTGGCATTTCATCTGAATGTCCAGTTACAAATGCTCACCCAACGCCAGTAATGCCATCCCATTAAAGAGTTCCGTATCGGGTTTCCGTTTTATAGCGCCGGTCTGCGTTGCGGCGCTGTCTGTGCACCCTGCCGCCGCCGCCGGCCGGTCGTCTGACTCTTCCCCCCCCCCCCCTCTCCCCCGCAGCGGCGGCGTGGCCTACATGATGGGCGCCAGCGGCTCGCTCTCCATGGTCGACAAGCTGCAGTCGCTCGAGAACGAGGTGGTCGACTGCGAGAGGCTCGTGCCAGAGTGCGAGGGGCCCAAGCTGCGCGAGGCCATGAGCCTGGGCACCACCATTCAGAAGTTCTCGGCCATGGTGGCGGAGTGGCTGGGCTGGTAGCCGGCCGCCGAGCGTCTGCGTCTGTGTGTGTGTCTGTGTGTGTGCTGACTGCTGCTCGTTTGTGCTGAGCTGTGCGCGTCCGCTGTGGCGTTCGTGAAGAGACATTGATCGTGGGGCATTGATTTACACTGGAGACCAGCGGAGGGTCGGCACGGTTTGTGCTTTCGTCTATTTATATTTGTTACGTGGAGTCTGTTGTGGCGATCCGGAGAGGACGGTGCGCTGTAAGGACCGAGGACGCTTCAGGACAGAGTACTGTCCACCGTCGGCTATTTATTGACGGTTTTTCGTAAGCACCGCTGGGGTACAATGCTGTTTTATTGAGACCCTCGGACCCGCCGAGAACTCGAGGTTAAATAAAACGTTTTCGTATTAGCCAATGTGTGACAGTGGACTGTGGAGTAACCGATACCGCCGCATCTGACAGTGTAGTAGCTGACACTGTCACATCTGACAGTGGAGTAGCTAACACATCTGGCAGTGGAGTAGCTGACACATCTGACAGTGGAGTAGCCATACTGCCACATCTGACAATGGAGTAGCCGACACTGACACATCTGACAGTGGAGTAGCTGACACATCTGACAGTTGAGTAGACGACACCGACACATCTGACAGTGGAGTAGCCGACACTGCCACACCTGACAGTGGAGTAGATGACGGCACATCCGACAGTGGAGTAGCCATGTTACGGACGAGTCGATGTTATGAGGTGAAATATGATGTTATGACTTATGATGTGAATGAATGAGGTATGAATGAAAGAAGTTATGATCGAGATTCGAGACGAAGCGATGCAAAAACGAATTAATGAATGAATGAGCATAATTGAATGAATCAATCGAGGCAGTACAAATAATCTAATCGACACACGATAAAACGAGACTGGGTTCAAAATTAAGGTTCGAATCAAGGTTGGATTAAACGAGAGTCTTCTACTTATTCTTAGCACAAATTTATCACTGATTTTGTAAGCTCGAGAAACTGTACTCGCGCTCTGATAATGGTAAATAATACCGCTGCGGGCGGTGACAAGCCATATTGACACATCTGGCAGTGGAGTAGCTGACACATCTGACAGTGGAGTAGACGACACCGACACATCTGACAGTAGAGTAGCCGACACTGTCACATTGCGTGGAAATAACCGAATAACCGATGGCTCCTCCAGCAGCCGGATTAAAGCTAGACGTTTCCTCTGTTACTGAGTGGTTTAGGGAGCACGGAAGCTGGGTCACCCTGACCCGGCCCGTCTCCAGTCGCCCGGCCGTGACGCCGAGACCCACCGCGCGGCCTGCACGGACGGTGTTCGATGGTAGTGGTGGGCACACAGCCGTCCCGCGCCCCGCGCCGCGCCCAGCCAGCAGCCACGGCACAGTCGCTGCACGCCGCCGAGCAGGCGCGACTCCTCAGTGAGGGGCGCAGTCCGCCGACCAGCCTGTGGTGGCTGAACGCAGACACGGGCTGGTCGCACGGGCGATAACAAAACACGCCGTCCAAATAGATAGTATCAATAACTTTATTGATTTACGTGACACATGATGATGATCAATGCATTAACATGACTGCGACTGCCATATGACGAATAGTTCCACCGAAAGGATTGAGAATCCGGTCACCGTTATCGGTCCCTCTCCGGATAAGTCCGGCCGTAATTTGTTTACCGATTTTTTTTTTTTTTTTACCGAACTCACTGCTCTCTACAATGGTCGTGATATGCGCAATAGAAACTCAGTACAATCGGTCAACAGATGCACCCGCCACTGCCCACAGACACGGGAATGGGCCCCAGGGCGGCCCCCCCCCGCGCCCCCTGTTCGGCGCCGAGCGGACGACGTCCGCGGCCAGCGTTACCAACACGAGCAGTGACCGGCTGGCTGTCCCCACACCGTCCTCACCGCGGCGCCGGCCTCCGTCGCCGCGGGCTGCTCGATGACGACGCTCCGCGGCTCACAGGCCGCCGGCCGACGCAGCCGACTCGGGCGCCGGTCCGGCGTCCGTCAGCCGCAGGTCGGGCGTCGGTCCGGCGTCCGTCAGCCGGCAGGTCGGGCGTCGGCCCGGCGTCCGTCAGCCGGCAGGTCGCGGCGTCGGTCCGGCGTCAGTCAGCCGGCAGGTGGCGGCGTCGGTCCGGCGTCCGTCAGCAGCAGGAAGGACCCGGTCCGGCGTCCGTCAGCTGCAGGTGGCGGCGCCGGTCCGGCGTCCGTCAGACCCTGCCTGTGGAGGACCCGGTCCGGCGTCCGTCAGCCGGCAGGCGGCGGCGCCGGTCAGTTGGCCGACTCGCAGGCGTCGATCCAGTCGTTGTAGACGTCGATCGGCTCCGAGAGGATGTTGGTGTTGGTCTGGAAGTCCTCCAAGCACACCCGGCACGTTACACGGCCCGAATTCCGCGCCTTATCCCTGCAACACAGCGACCAATGGTGACAACTCACTCAAACCGTCAGTCGCTGCGCGGGTTGTCTGCTTTCTCTCTTCATCATCTATGAAAACTACGATTTTTAGATGATGGAAATGTTCTGATTGTTTTATATATGAATGTTCGAGGTTGTGTGGGCTTTTTAAAGATAACTGAAGGAAATATGGAGGCAGTTAAAAACCTGCCCGTAAAATTGGGGGTAAAAATTGTTCTGAAAAATTGGGGGTGAGAGTGAAAATTATTTTCATTTGGATGTCACTTCCCAACCAAACTGGCAATTTTGGGGACACTGCAGCTGACTGAACTGGGTATGTGAACTTTAAAAAAAGAACAATCAAGCTAGTAAAGTAGGTAGCATATCATATGATGCACAGTGACATGGTGAGCTCATTCTTTTAATTTTAGGGTCTTATCCCCCCCCCCCAGCTGTTCACAGTATAGAAGAGGCCTTGCCTTGCAAGGGTTCAGTTTCAGGGTCTTGGGTTTGATCCCCAAATGTGTCATCAGTATCACCAGTTTCTAGCCTGAACATTCTATGTGATGTGAACCAAGCATGGCCTCGCTTGGTTCAGCCTGCCAAGTCAATGCTGATCGGGGGAGGACCACAAATGACTTTACGGGGGGTACCAAGCATTTAGAGTTGTGTTCTTGCACTGCAGCATTTATTTGAGACCGTTACACCTGCACAAATTTGAAAGAATGGTCAGACTTATGTCCAGGATCTCGGCTAGCATAGTGAGCGGAGGCCGGCAACCTTTTTTTTGGGATAGGATGCAATGAGGACCTGCTATAAAGGAACCATTATAGCGATTGTACCTCATGAACAAGCACCTGATGAATTTAAAGCAAATGGTGCTACGAAGATGTATAATTGATATAATTATGACTTACATTTTCACTTCACAGCTTTTTTCGTGGTTGCAGAACGGGCAGTTAAAGAGGAGATCCAATGGCTCAATGTTCTTGCGCTTTGGTGGTGGTTTCCTGTTGCTTTTTCTTCGACCCATTTCAGCGCTTGGCGTGACTTAAATGCTCACTTAAATGTGCTTAAATGTTGCGACAATACTCAACAGACTTCCCAAACAACAAGCACGCTGACGCAAAAACGCTTCATGCGCAGAACGCCATGCACGGATAACTCCTCATGTGCGCCGGTTTCGTCGGTGTTCTTTTCCACGCTCGGTGTTATTCTAGGAAATTGCTAATGTTTTGCTAACCAATATACCCTGTGCTAACCTACCCACGCATTAAAACTTTTTAATGTCAGGGAAGAGTTGATTCATTTTTTTGTATTATTAACTAGTTTCAAGCAAAATATCAGACAACTTTCATAAGAAAACAATTTTTTTCAAAATGTGACGTAATATCAGGCTGTCGAAAAACCCCATTACTGCAAGACAAGTCGAAGATAAAAAGATATTCCATTACGCTTCAGCTCTGCAATGCATTATTATCATATTAAGAATTCCATTTATTGTAAAAAAATCATTTTCTTTTACTATCTTTCGTAATTGTTAATGGGCAAGAAAAAGGGTATTTACCGTACTTACGTCATTTCCCGCTTTCTTTGCACGTATTGACGTATATACCAGCCTTGTGCTGAACACAATAGCATTTTTCACAACATGCTCGCTGCCTTGGCTCAAGCCAAGCTCAAGCACATTGCGAGCAAGGCCCTATATACCGAGTTGTTGGATTGCGAGTTGTTGCGCGTGGAGTTCTCTATATCAATATACCGTGGCGCGTGGTTGCGAGCCGGTGGGTGAGGGCTCTCTCTATCGTCTGGATAAAAATAGGCCCCGCCCATCCCAATCAGCTGCTGCATGACGAGTTGATGACGACAACCACTACTTACCAGCAACCAATCTAGGGATAGCGTACGTGACAGTAATGGTGCAGCGGTTGCAAAATATTACATTGTTATTCAAACGGTTTTTGCTTTTAGGGCCTTGTTGTTTAACCCATCTTTGTTTGATTGTATTGAGATATGTGATTAGATGAGGTGTTGATGAAGGCAGGTATATTTTTAAAATATTTTTTTGACAATTTTTTGCCCTTGTTCTTCTTAATAGCTGAACCCGGGACCACCTGAAGTCTAAACCTTATTTTAAATAACATGTCAATGCTGATGCTGTCTTGAAATGTGAAATTTAGACAATGGTAATAGGAATAATGAAGAGCAATTTCACCAACAACTTCTTAATCTCTAGGAAGTGCAATTAAAATTAACATCACTGTCTGCCACACTGCTCCGATCCTGGTCATGCAACCAACGTTCATGGGTGGTGTTGCACGGCAGAGCACTGCAGTGCGCCGCGTGTGTCAGCATTGGGTTTCCATGGCAGTGTCAATAAACTTCACTGTGACGCTAAGCTATGACAGCATCCCAGAACGCTAGCACGCTGTGGTACCAGCACCAGCAGCATGCTAGCAGTATTTGAACTCAAACCTCTGTTCTTGGTACGGTTTTTCAGAACCTCTCACTCTGTTCCAAACGCTATTCATCATAAACTAAGAGATCACATGCAACGTCATTTGAGTGATGCTATGGTATGCCGTAGCTACCAGTGCACACAGTGTCCGGATGACCATCCAGAGAATGGTCATCCAGACATTTCACCAGTGAAACAGGGCCATTATTAATCACATTTGCTTTGCTTTGTTTCAGCAGAAACCTGTCTGCACATGGGAGGAGCGCAACAAAAGCCCATCAAGTTCATGCATGGCAGTGGACAGGGCTGCGGAGTCGGAGTCGGTCGGAGTCGACAGTTGTGACCGGAGTCGGAGTCGGAGTCGATTTTAGAAACCCGAGCCGGAGTCGGAGTCGGAGTCACTGAAAATCTGTCGACTCCGCAGCCCTGCTATGTCTGCGGAGTCGGAGTCGGGAGTTGGAGTCGGTGGGAGTCGACAATTCTGCCCGGAGTCAGAGTCGGAGTTGGAGCTGGTTTTTGAAAGCCGGAGTCGGAGTCGCCGAAAATCCATCGACTCCGCAGCCCTGGCAGTGGATCTCAACAGGAGAAAACCAGAAAGAACATGGATGCTTGTAGATTGCAGTTGTACACTGCTGTTATCACCTGATGTGCGTGGCTGGCATTGCTCCTGGCAAGAACCACCTTGAAGTGATGAGATGGTGCCTCAGTCGTTGAGTGTGCTGCAGTGTGAGAGGCGCCCTGATCACGTGCACAGAATGGTGGGGGGAGGGCAACTCTGGGCTCTTGAGTCAGCCCTACTGCACAGGGGGTACAGATGGCCGCTTACATTTGGTGCACTGCATTATCAAGCCCAGTCTGCTGCCACAGGCAATGGGTCGGGCTGCACTATATTGAAGGCAGACTATCTTGCAAAGGAGGCTGGCATCCCCTCCCATAATGACACACCAATTGGCAATCATCGCTGCGATGATCACGAGGGTGTCCGCTTATCTAACATGGTGAGGTGGAGAGCCAGCTCAAGCTGGCCTGAGGGATGGTTTTACTTCATCTGAGGCCCCCTTTCCCCGCCTGCCAGGTCCGGTCAAACGACCGCTTCACAGTGAACGACTTGCAGTGGATGCCGTCCCACAGCGCAACGAGCGCGCCGACCAGAGGCGGCGGCCAAGAGGCGGCCGCGCTCCCCCAGTCGACGGTCCCGGTGGACGTCGGCAACGCCCACCGCGCGACCATCAGATCGGCTCGCGACCGCGCCGTCGCCGACTGACCGCATGACTGGTATCTGTTCTTGATGTGGGACCGACTGCCACCGCCGGTCGCGGAAGGGCATCGCTCATCGGCCATCGACGTCCACCAGCTTCGCGTGGGTCACTGTTCGGGCTGCCACCAATACACCGAATCGGATGAAACCCTGTCGGCGAATGCCGGCGGTGCCCCGACATCGACTGCGCGGCGGCCAGTGCATCGCGTGCCGGGAGGAGGCTGGCACCCCCGATCGGTCATTGGTCACAAACCGTGTCCCAGCTCATGACTGCATCCAGCGCAGCTCTGTGAGATGTTCTGCTGCAGTCTGCCGCGTGTGTTGAAAGAAGAATGAACATGAGAAATCCTCAAAACTTTATGCCTATTAGTATTTGACCAGTATTGGAATAAGTTTAGCTTTTGAGAATTTGTGTCCCTGTGCTTGTGCCTTTGTGGAAAGGCATGCTTCACGGTGTACCATCTCAATTTGTGCGGCTGCTGACAGGCCACCTGGGTGCCAACGTTTGTGCGAATCCGCGAATACGTTGTGTTTCGTCAGTCGGTATCGTTCTGAAAATATTGACTGCAATAGGCTATATAGCGTATGACGGTTCAGCCCAGCAGTAATAACTGACCATTGATTGGGCGAATTTTGTGTGGTGGTTCGCTAATACATAACCTAAAGAGTGTTTTGCCGGAATCGTTTAGTAGCAGAACTGACCGGAATATAAGTAGAATGCAACGGTTTGAATCGTTAATTTGTTGAAACGATTGTTCTCTGAGACCACTGTGTAACTTTTGACCTGAGAATCACCAATTATAACAACAATGGTGGAAGCAGTGGCACTGTAGAGTGTAGGCAGCACTATATAGTTGGCACACTTGCAAGCACACGACTTACGCAGTGGACATCTGCATCATGCATGTTAAGGTTTACTGGGAAGAGTGAGAAATTAGTCAGAATATAACTGGCTAAGGAAAATAGGCGATATTTCCAATTGAGCTGAGGGGGAGGGGACGTATGGTCAGCTATGCCAATAATTCATTCTCGTTATGCAGCCGTGTAAAAGGGCGTCCGTTTTTTGGGTTAGACCTTCCCCATTGGCCATTTCCAAGCTAAATCGTGGTGGAGAGTCTGGAGACCTCAGCCTCGGTAGTCGGTACCCTGCGCGCTGCGCCACCTTGCGAAACATAAAGCAGCGGTCCTGACATCTACAGGCGTTACTTTTCATGAAAGCGCGGATGTGTTCGCGCTTATGCGAAGAAAATTCTTCCGAGTATGGTTGATAATTAGATTAATTGTTGTCATTTATTTATTAATTCATTGGCAAAAGTACACTAATAACTCGGTAATGTAGCTTAAACTGTATCGTATTTCCTTGGGAAAAAATGACGAACTCATCCTAAGACATCCAGATTATTGGATGCGCTCGCCAGTTGTAGGTAGTTCAAGTTTTTGGAAAAATTGGCTTGTGGAAAATCATAATATTTCAAAGATATGCCTATTTTCGAATAATTTATGCATTTATCTGCATTGAAAAATGATTGTAAAGCAAAAATGCAAAAGATTATTGTCAATTTATTTTCTCAAATCACAATTTACGAACGCACAAAACTCCAGCTTTTAATTTAGTGCGTGTGCGAATTGCGGTCAAGAAAAAAGATTTAAACTGTCTATATTCCTCTTAAAACAATGAAAGATGAATGAGGAAAACGCTGTTTTGAACAATTGTATATTTATTTTTTCTCAATTAAGCAAAACTACAAAATTTTCAACTATTATTACATTTGCTCTCACAAAACCCATCACTTTTAAGCATGACGTCATGTCAGCCAAACTTACTAGCGCCATCTCTGGAGAGCATCTTTCGAAACCTCCAGACCCTCCAGACGATAGAGAGAGCCTGGGTGAGTGAGGACAGAGGTAGTGGTATAGGGCCTTGGGTAGTGGATTGTGGGAATTAAATGGACTCAATCTATCGTCTGGAAGAAGATTGAGATAGGAGGCCCCTCTTGCGCGGAGACTAACCCCGAATTCGCAGTCTCCTTGGACGAATATGTTTCAGTTTATAAACTTTGCAACGTATTAAGATTGAGATTCATATTCAATATTGATGGTATGCGGCAGAGTCTGGCTCTGCGGACCATTTCAATTTAGAATCACATGAAAATGATTTTGACTTGTGCAAGACTTGTGTCTCCGACCGTGCAAGAGGGGCCTATCTTCTTCCAGACGATAGAGCGAGTCATATGCATTTGTGCGCTATGTAAATTGAACTCGATCCTCTACATATTGTGGTTAAACTGAGCGTACCAGTAGATTGGAGGCATTTTCATGCTAATCAATTTACCTTGTTTTATGGATTGGCTAGTCGGTCTAGGCATCAGCATCACCAGACATCAGAGCTTTGGAGATCTTGGATTTGCTGGGGAGGGCAAAATCAAAATTCAGTTGGGGAAACTATGAGGCATCAAACTAAAATTGGATCAGCCAATCAACAGCTGGAGTGGGCGGGGCGATGACCATATATGGTCATAAAATCAGAAAACTTAATCTTTTCTATGCATCCTAGCATTCAAATGAAAAAATAAGGCATAAGAATGTTTTTACTCATACTTACCTACTAACATATTAACCTACAACCTACCAACTTACAACCTACAACCTACCAACCTACACCTACCAACCTACCAACCTACCAACCTACAACCTACCAACCTACAACCTACAAACCTACAACCTACCAACCTACAACCTACCAACCTACAACCTACAAACCTACAACCTACCAACCTACAACCTACCAACCTACACCTACTAATCTACAACCTACCAACCTGCAACCTACCAGCCTATAAACTACCAACCTACAACCTACCAACCTACAACCTACCAACCTACCAACCTACAACCTACCAACCTCCAACCTATCAACCTACAACCTACCAACCTACAACCTAGGTACCCTATAAACTAACCTTCCCCATATTTGGGTTGTTCCCATATTTGGGTTTTTCGTTCCCAAATTTGTATTGAACCTGATTTGCCTTCACTCCTGTTCCAGATAAGCTGCACTTTAAGTCACAATCAAGATTTAGCTGCAGCAATGAGTTCCCATCTGTGCCAGGCACCATCCAGCATTTCCTAGTCAGCCTCTGCCAGTAGCAAGATCTGCCTCATCTATCGTCTTCTTCATCGCCTCTTCAGACATCCATCGGGCACCCCCCACCCCCCACCCCCGACACCCTCACTCTGTCCCCTCTCGCCACCCCTCAGGAGCTCTGTGGCCGCTCACGGCGCCCCACTGTCAGGATGGGTATCCAGGAGCTGCAGAGGTACATTGAGGTGCACGCGCCGTCGGCCTGCGTGCCGGTCGATCTGCTGAAGCTGGCGCGCGGTGTGACGCTGGGCCAGCCGCGCACGCCCAGCGCGCGCCGCCGGCCGCCGCCGGCCGTCCAGCTGTGCCTGGTGCTGGACGCCGAGTCGTGCCTGGACCGGCTCTACGGCGGCTTCTTCTCCGGTGAGCTCAGCGGCAGCGGCCACTCCTCGGGGTGGCAGGCAGCTCGCTTTGGATCGATAGTCCCTTTTCGATAGTTGGCAAAGAGAATGCAGTTGTTGATTGGTCTATGATATCTTCTTATTCCGATATTTGTACTTTTTTAGAGGACCCCAGTGTGATTATGGAATTGTATTTTGATAAGGTCGTGTTAAAGCCGGAGCGGGTATGAGCTGAGCTGTGTATGTGGCTGGCCCCGTTTGCGGGCGCTGCGCTCCACTCTGACGGCCGCGCCGCCGGTCCGCTGCCGGCAGACTGGGCGTGTGGCGGCGAGTGGGGCCGCATGATGCACTTCCTCACCGTGCTCATCCAGACCATCCGCACCAACAACATGGAGCTGGCCGTCTTCTTTTCGGGCGCGCTCGAGCTGCCGCGCATGCGCGAGTGGGTGGGCCGCCAGCACGCCCAGCGGAGACACATCAACCAGACGCTCAAGCACCTGTCTGTGAAGGCCACGCCGCCGCCCAAGGTGTGGTGGACGGCTCCGGCGTGTCTGCGCAGCGCGCTGCGGCTGGCGCTGCGCAGTCTGGACGTCCAGGTGCTCTGCTCGACAGACGAGCACCGCCAGGAGGTGATGGCGTTCTGCCACGAGAACAGCTACCACGGCCTGGTGGCCGAGGACGCCGAGTTCATCATGCTCAACCCGCCGCGCCTCTTCTCGGCCCGGCAGCTCAAACTCACATACAAGGTAAGACGGCGGCAGCGGCCTGGGGCCGGCGGCTCTGCGGGGTAGGTACCATACGTACCGTGCCGCGTACCAGTACACACTGCACCCGTGGAGCTCACTGTCACTGACTGGCACGGCGTTCAAACACAGCTAAAGCGTTGTTGTTGTTGTCTTTCCCTCCGCTTCTTAGTGAAGTGTCTCAGAGGCGCCCAGAGCCTGTCGGATCTGTCCAGAGCCTGTCGGCTCTGGGCGCCTCTGGCGGCCGCCGCCACGCTGGTCTCCGGGACCTCCTCCGTTGCTACTTACCACAGCTACCGCAGCTAACGTAGATCACCGTGATGTGGACGTACTATGATAGGTAAATGCCTTGTGAGCCTTTATCATATTATTTTTTATTTAGTTCTATTATACCTTTTATCTTTTTCTTTGCACTTATACCCACTTTATAGCCAGCATTTACTGACTCAGTACCAAGAATTGCCTCTCTGCCTCTGGTCATAGATTGGGTGTGGTCACTGGTCACTACGAGGTAAATGGATGAACTGCGACAGCGGTCTGTTATCCCGAGTGAGACGCGGGGGTGCTGGGACGCCAGAGCTGAACTGGCCTGACACCGATGCCGCCTGACACTGGGTGGGTGTGCCGCTCCTCTTCAGGGCACGCTGGAGACGAAGGAGTTCATCCTGCAGCAGGTGGCGCGCGGCCTGGACCTGCAGCCGAACCGGTTCAGTCTGCTGGCCGCCCTGCTGGGCAACTTCCTGCTTACGGACCAGGACCTGGCAGACTTCCACGAGTCGCTGCTGCAGGCCAGCCAGGCCAGGGTGAGGCAGCGGGACGGGTCAGACAGGGTCAGAGCGGGTCAGACAGATAGGTAGGGTCGGAACAGGTCAACGGACCGGGTCAGACAGGGTCAGAGCGGGTCAGACAGACGGGATCAGAGGGGGTCAGACGGGGTCAGACAGGCAGGCAGGGTCGGAACAGGTCAGCGGACCGGGTCAGATAGGGTCAGAGCGGGTCAGACAGACGGGGTCAGAGTGGGTGAGACAGACAGGCAGGCAGGGTCAGACAGGGTCAGTGCGGACCGGGCGAGCCAGCGGGGCGGCAGACGGGACCGGGCCAGGGCCACTGCCTGCCGCTGTTGGACTGTGGGTCGGAGGGAGCTCTGCAGAGGTGTCGGCAGTGACCGCGCCCCTCGGTCGGCAGGCAGAGCCGCCCGGCACCCCGGCCGCGCCGGACGCCGACGCCGCGCTGCAGCTGCAGCTGGTCGGCGCCGTCCTCCAGTTCGTCCGCTCGCTGCCCTCCGTCGACCGGCTCGACGCCGTCGGAGAGCGCGTCTTCGGCGACGCGTCCGACCCGCGCGTGGCCAGGCTTAAGGAGAGTGTGGCCTACTTCGGCGACGGGTCGCGCGACGGCTACTTCCGGCACAAATCGCTCAGCGGTGGGTGGGGCGCCGCGCCCCGCGGTGCCTGGGGGTGGCCGCCGCTCAGTGGTGGTTTATGTGGGACAGTTTGTCGCCATTAATTGTCAGTGCACCCCACCCAGTTGTTAAACTTATGAAATTAATATGACAACGCAGTGAAGTTGTACAAAGTTCATCTCTCACGGTGCTACTGTCGTAAGTCGTAAGTCGCTGTCTCAAGCGGTGATAATGTCGCTGGCGGCTGTCTCACCCTGTGACACTGTCTGTGGCCGCTGTCTCTCCCTGTGATACTGTCGGTGACCGCTGTCTCTCCGGCCTGTGACACTGTGTGTGACCGCTGTCTCTCCCTGTGACACTGTCGGTAAGCCGCTGTCTCTCCCTGTGACACTGTCGGTGACCGCTGTCTCTCCCTGTCACACTGTCGGTGACCGCTGTCTCTCCCTGTCACACTGTCGGTGACCGCTCTCTCCCTGTCACACTGTCGGTGACCGCTGTCTCTCCCTGTGACACTGTCGGTGACCGCTGTCTCTGCCTGTGACACTGTCGGTGACCGCTGTCTCTCCCTGTCACACTGTCGGTGACCGCTGTCTCTCCCTGTCACACTGTCGGTGACCGCTGTCTCTCCCTGTGACACTGTCGGTGACCGCTGTCTCTCCCTGTGACACTGTCGGTAAGCCGCTGTCTCTCCCTGTGACACTGTCGGTGACCGCTGTCTCTCCCTGTGACACTGTCGGTGACCGCTGTCTCTCCCTGTGACACTGTCGGTGACCGGGCTGTCTCACCCTGTGACACTGTCTGTGGCCGCTGTCTCTCCCTGTGATACTGTCGGTGACCGCTGTCTCTCCGGCCTGTGACACTGTGTGTGACCGCTGTCTCTCCCTGTGACACTGTCGGTAAGCCGCTGTCTCTCCCTGTGACACTGTCGGTGACCGCTGTCTCTCCCTGTCACACTGTCGGTGACCGCTGTCTCTCCCTGTCACACTGTCGGTGACCGCTCTCTCCCTGTCACACTGTCGGTGACCGCTGTCTCTCCCTGTGACACTGTCGGTGACCGCTGTCTCTGCCTGTGACACTGTCGGTGACCGCTGTCTCTCCCTGTCACACTGTCGGTGACCGCTGTCTCTCCCTGTCACACTGTCGGTGACCGCTCTCTCCCTGTCACACTGTCGGTGACCGCTGTCTCTCCCTGTGACACTGTCGGTGACCGCTGTCTCTGCCTGTGACACTGTCGGTGACCGCTGTCTCTCCCTGTCACACTGTCGGTGACCGCTGTCTCTCCCTGTCACACTGTCGGTGACCGCTCTCTCCCTGTCACACTGTCGGTGACCGCTGTCTCTCCCTGTCACACTGTCGGTGACCGCTGTCTCTCCCTGTGACACTGTCTGTGGCCGCTGTCTCTCCCTGTGATACTGTCGGTGACCGCTGTCTCTCCGGCCTGTGACACTGTGTGTGACCGCTGTCTCTCCCTGTGACACTGTCGGTAAGCCGCTGTCTCTCCCTGTGACACTGTCGGTGACCGCTGTCTCTCCCTGTCACACTGTCGGTGACCGCTGTCTCTCCCTGTCACACTGTCGGTGACCGCTCTCTCCCTGTCACACTGTCGGTGACCGCTGTCTCTCCCTGTGACACTGTCGGTGACCGCTGTCTCTGCCTGTGACACTGTCGGTGACCGCTGTCTCTCCCTGTCACACTGTCGGTGACCGCTGTCTCTCCCTGTCACACTGTCGGTGACCGCTCTCTCCCTGTCACACTGTCGGTGACCGCTGTCTCTCCCTGTGACACTGTCGGTGACCGCTGTCTCTCCCTGTGACACTGTCGGTAAGCCGCTGTCTCTTCCTGTGACACTGTCGGTGACCGCTGTCTCTCCCTGTGACACTGTCGGTGACCGCTGTCTCTCCCTGTGACACTGTCGGTGACCGGGCTGTCTCACCCTGTGACACTGTCTGTGGCCGCTGTCTCTCCCTGTGATACTGTCAGTGACCGCTGTCTCTCCGGCCTGTGACACTGTCTGTGACCGCTGTCTCTCCTTGTGACACTGTCGGTAAGCCGCTGTCTCTCCCTGTGACACTGTCGGTGACCGCTGTCTCTCCCTGTGACACTGTCGGTAAGCCGCTGTCTCTCCCTGTGACACTGTCGGTGACCGCTGTCTCTCCCTGTGACACTGTCGGTGACCGCTGTCTCTCCCTGTGACACTGTCGGTGACCGGGCTGTCTCACCCTGTGACACTGTCTGTGGCCGCTGTCTCTCCCTGTGACACTGTCGGTAAGCCGCTGTCTCTCCCTGTGACACTGTCTGTGGCGCTGTCTCTCCCTGTGACACTGTCGGTGACCGCTGTCTCTCCCTGTGACACTGTCGGTAAGCCGCTGTCTCTCCCTGTGACACTGTCGGTGACCGCTGTCTCTCCCTGTGACACTGTCGGTGACCGCTGTCTCTCCCTGTGACACTGTCGGTGACCGCTGTCTCTGCCTGTGACACTGTCGGTGACCGCTGTCTCTCCCTGTGACACTGTCTGTGGCCGCTGTCTCTCCCTGTGACACTCTGTGACCGCTGTCTCTCCTTGTGTCTCTCCTGTCTCCTGACTGTCTCTCCCTGTGACACTGTCGGTAAGCCGCTGTCTCTCCCTGTGACACTGTCGGTGGCCGCTGTCTCTCCCTGTGACACTGTCGGTGACCGCTGTCTCTCCCTGTGACACTGTCGGTGACCGTTGTCTCTCCCTGTGACACTGTCGGTGACCGCTGTCTCTCCCTGTGACGCTGTCGGTGACCGCTGTCTCTCCCTGTGACACTGTCGGTGACCGCTGTCTCTCCCTGTGACACTGTAGGTGACCGCTGTCTCTCCCTGTGACACTCTGTGACCGCTGTCTCTCCCTGTCACACTGTCGGTAAGCCGCTGTCTCTCCCTGTTACACTGTCTGTGACCGCTGTCTCTCCCTGTGACACTGTCGGTAAGCCGCTGTCTCAGGCCGTCCGCCCGCCCGCAGGCGCCCTGAACGGCAGCTGCTCGGTGCTGGCCGCGGAGCGCAGCTCGGACGCCGGCGGCGGCTCGCTCTCGGGGCCGCCGTCGGTGCCCTCGGACCCGGGGTCGGTGCTCGACGTGGCGCCGGCCGCGCAGACACGAGCGGGCGGCCGGACCGACGAGCAGGCCGACTGTCTGGCCAGGAGGTTCGGACTGCTGGGATTGGACAGTGAGTCTGGGACAGGGCCGGTGGGGAGTTGGGCCGGGTCTGGGACAGGGCCGGTGGGGTGTCGGGCAGGGTTGGTGGGGGGTCGGGGCTGGTGGGGAGTTGGACAGGGCTGGTGGGGAGTTGGACAGGGCTGGTGGGGTGCCGGGGCCGGTCTGGGACAGGGCCGATGGGAAGCAGGTCTGGGACTGGGACGGACCGGTGGGGTGTCGGGGCGGGTCTGAGTCCCAGGGTCTTATTCCTCAGACTCTGCGGTATCTTTCCGACCTGGAGCAATGTGCAGTGTACGACGGCGTGTATTTGTTTCACTCCGGCCCATCTGGTTTTGTTTGCAGTTAATTTACTTGTTTAACGTAACATTAATTGAATATTTTGACAACGGTTTCTTTGATATTGAGGTCTGTCTGTCGCTGTGGTAAGAGTGGTCTCACGGCGTTCCGATTTGTTCACCGGTGATCTCTGCAGACCTGTGAGATACCCTTCCCCTGTTCTGGAGCTGACCTGGGGTCGATCCTTCACGTGCCTGTGACCTGGGAGCTGTGGTCTGTGGTCCATTCCGTCCCTGCAGCCGTGGCCCATTCGGTCCCCTGTGGTCCCTACCCTATCGTCCCCTTTGGTCCGTCCCCTGTTGTCCGTCCGCTATGGTCCATACCCTCCTTTCCCCTGTGGCCCGATCCCTGTGATCCCTTCCTACTCTATCGTCTCCTGTAGTCCGCACCCTCCCGTCTCCTGTGTTCTGTACGGTCCCGTCTGGACCTGTGGTTCGTACCCTCCCGTCCCCCGTGGTCCGCACCCTCCCGTCTCCTGTGGTCCGTACCCTCCCGTCCCCCGTGGTCCGTACGGTCCCGTCTCCTGTGCCCTGTACCCTCCCGCCTCCCGTGGTCCGTACCCTCCCGTCCCCCGTGGTCCGTACGGTGGCGCCCCCGCCGCCGCTCTGACAGTCTTCTGGTGGCCGCCAGTGGACGCCTACGTACCGGGCACGGCGCCCGGTTCGTACAGCGACGACCGGCCCGCCAACGGACACTCCAGCGCGGTGAGTGGAGCGACTGGGCGCTGGGCAGCGCGGCCCGAGACAGAGGTCGGCGCCGCGTGCGCCGGCCACTGGACCGGGGGAGGGGTCACCGACACTCGTACCGGGACTGGGGACCGGGTGGGCAGAGACAGACAGAAACAGACTGACAGACAGATACAAAGACAGATAGGCAGACGAACGGAACGGAACGGAACGGAACGGAACGGACGGACGGACGGACGGACGGACGGACGGACGGACGGACGGACGGATGAACGAACGAACGAACGAACGAACGAACGAACGAACGAACGAACGAACGAACGAACGAACGGACGGACGGACGGACGGACGGACGGACGGACGGACGGAGGGAAGGGCCGATGGGAAGACGGATAGACAGACGTTCAGACAGACACTGTCGCTCGGGTGGACAGAGAAACAGATGGACCGACAGAGCAGTTCATCGGTCGGACAGACTGACACAGACGGACACGGGCAAACGGACCGGCGGACACTAGACGGACGGAGGAGCAGTACATCCGGCGGACGGAGGGGCAGAGAGGCATGGACGGGCCGACAGATTGGCGGTCAGACAGGCGGAGACAGATGTTTTATACCCGAGGGCGCCACTGGTTCGGGGACGGTGCGGTGTTTTATACCCGGGGGCGCCGGTGGTTCGGGGACGGTGCGGTGTTTTATACCCGGGGGCGCCGGTGGTTCGGGAACGGTGCGGCGGAGTGGTTCACAGGACGAGGGTCCCTGTACTTATCGCCTTGGAGGGCCACCTGTCACGGAGAGCCCGGCGGAGGCGCCGTCCGTTCTAGCGCGCCTATTTCCGGAGATGGAAGCGAATCAGGGCGGCGGGTGTGGGTGCGAGACTATTCTGGATGTGCTCTGGAATAACTAATCGGAACAGGTGCTGACTACTGGCAGCGAGAGCTGATTAATTTCCATAAATACATTTGCTGTTGTAAGAAAGTGAATCGGAGCGGGATGCTGCCAAGCCCAACTCGACAGAGACATTATGTCGGCGCTGAACTAATGTTATGAAAACAGTAGCACGTGAGGCTGCGTCGCCTGCTCTCCCTCTCTGTGGCGGTGTAGCTTTCCGCTCTTACTCAGCTTCCTCTGGAAACGGCCTGTAACACCGCTATCCGGTGCCCCCCCCCCCCGCCCCCCCCCCCCGAGCTGTGAGTAACCGTTCGCCCTCAGGCTGAGTGATCGGCCGGCCAGCTCAGAGGCCGTCCCCGCCCCCGGCTGTTAGTGCCAGCTCAGAGGCCGAGTTCCGCGCGCTGTGTCGGCGCCGCGCTGTTGGTAAACAGTCGGCCGCGGCCGAGGGCGGGCGGGCGTCGTCAGTGGCCGGGCTGACCGCGCGCCGGTCTGAGTCAGCGGGCCCACTCATCCCGACCGGGCCGGGCCGGGTGCGCGTCACTGCGCAGTGCCCGGGCGACCCGAGTCCGGTGACGGGGCGGACCACGCACACACACACACACACACACACACACACACACACACACACACACACACACACACACACACACACACACACACACACACACACACACACACACACACACACACACACACACACACACACACACACACACACACACACACACACACACACACACACACACACACACACACACACACACACACACACACACACACACACACACACACACACACACACACACACACACACACACACACACACACACACACACACACACACACACACACACACACACACACACACACACACACACACACACACACACACACACACACACACACACACACACACACACACACACACACACACACACCACACACACACACACACACACACACACACACACACACACACACACACACACACACACACACACACACACACACACACACACACACACACACACACACACACACACACACACACACACACACACACACACACACACACACACACACACACACACACACACACACACACACACACACACACACACACACACACACACACACACACACACACACACACACACACACACACACACACACACACACACACACACACACACACACACACACACACACACACACACACACACACACACACACACACACACACACACACACACACACACACACACACACACACACACACACACACACACACACACACACACACACACACACACACACACACACACACACACACACACACACACACACACACACACACACACACACACACACACACACACACACACACACACACACACACACACACACACACACACACACACACACACACACACACACACACACACACACACACACACACACACACACACACACACACACACACACACACACACACACACACACACACACACACACACACACACACACACACACACACACACACACACACACACACACACACCACACACACACACACACACACACACACACACACACACACACACACACACACACACACACACACACACACACACACACACACACACACACACACACACACACACACACACACACACACACACACACACACACACACACACACACACACACACACACACACACACACACACACACACACACACACACACACACACACACACACACACACACACACACACACACACTGCGCGTCCCGGCGGGTGGGGGGGGGGATGGGGCGAGCTAACGGGGGGGGGGGGCACAGCCGGCGCCGACGGGCCCGGCTGGTCACCTGATCAGCGTTTGGGCAGCGGCTCAGTGTGGTCACTGGTTTCAGTTGTTGGCACATGTCGGTGAGCCTGGTACAACATTCAGGTTGTTTTCAGAAGGTTGGGGTCAGAAGTCAGGAAGGCAGAGTTTCGTTGCCCGATCACCCGTGTGACCGGTGCCGTTAACTCTCTGCTCAGTAGCGGGCTAGCCCACCTGTCCAGGGCCCGGCGAGGGCTGGCGCTCACTCAGCCTCCATGTCTACAGCGGGGTGTGTCTGGGCGCTGAAGCCTGTATCTCGCCAAGAGGGACTACCGTTCCGCCACGCCGCGCTGCCGTTGCGGTTAGCATACCCGCGCTGTAAGCAAAGGGACGGATATTTTCCGTTCAGCTTATTTCAAGTGACCTTTATTTTCTCAAGCTGTGGTTACAGTGTAATGTGGATTGACCATTTTATTGTCAAGGGCCATTGCGTAAGTTAATCCAAACACTACCAAATTTTACCGTGATAATTTTTTTGAAATACTTTGGGCATTGTGGGACTATAAGATAACTTTGGATGTGAACAGCATTACTCTGATAGCAACTGGGGTCCCGTGTAACCGCCGTAGTCAATGAGGTCCTGAAAGCTCTATGCTTCAGCCAAGCGCGTATTCATATACCAGCAATTATCCGCCCCTGGAGTCAGAGTCAGAGACCGGCACCGCCTGCATCTCGGCCTTACCCGGCTTCCCTGGAAACGTATTGTGCTCGCTCCCTCTGCGCAGCGTTCTGGAACAAGGCAACGTCGTACGTCTGCCTACGCAGAAAGTAGAAACGGTTCTCTTCTGAACTTACAAGAAACGGAGTTGTGCCACGGAGGACTGAGGTTCAACAGAGGGGTCGGTAATACGTGTCTGCCTGTTCTGCCTACTGCTGACCCCCTCCCCCCCCCCTCAGGACGCCGAGGGTCCGGCGGTGACACTGACTCCCCCCCCCCCCCCCAGAGCGCCGAGGGTCCGGCGGTGACGCTGACTCGCCCCCCCCCCCACTCAGGGCGCCGAGGGTCCGGCGGTGACGCTGACCCCCCCCCCCCCCAGGGCGCCGAGGGTCCGGCGATGACGCTGACCCCCCCCCCCCCTCAGGGCGCCGAGGGTCCGGCGGTGACTGACCCCCCCCCCCCCTCAGGGCGCCGAGGACCCAGTGGTGACGCTGACTCGCCCCCCCCCCCCCCCCTCAGGGCGCCGAGGGTCCGGCGGTGACGCTGACGCCGCCGCCGCTGCCGCCCGTCACCGCCGAGGTGCTGCGAACGGCCGGCGAGCGGCACCGGCGCGGTCTGATGACACCCTGGGTGTACCAGGTCCTCACAAAGGTAAACACACCCGCGGTCACACCCGCGGTACTGCCGAGCCGGCGGGCGACGCGACCACTACTTCCTTCTGATGTACTGAACGACAAAGGTCTTTAATTAAGAGCACCACAGCAACTTTCATGTTGCGATCATTACTTTGCAAAAACAGGATTGATTGGACGATTTTATTATTGATTTGATGTGTGATTGCCATCCGTTGTTTGCGTATGACTGTCACTTCCTGTTTATGTGTGACTGACATTTACTGTGCGTAAGCGTTAGATCTCCTCCCCCCCCTCTCCCTCTCAGGGTGGACTAAATGTGCCAGAGTGTATGTGCCCCCTCCCCTCAGGGGTGAACTGAAAGTGCCGGTCTGTGTGACGCCCCCTCCCCGCTCCCTCCGTCAGGGTGAGCTGAAAGTGCCGGTCTGTGTGTGACGCCCCCCTCCCCCCCCCCCCCCCACCCTCAGGGTGAGCTCAAGGTGCCGGTCAGTGTGACGCCCCCTCCCCCCTCCCCCCTCCCTCAGGGTGAGCTCAAGGTGCCGGTCTGTGTCGAGGACGAACTGAACCGGGAGCTGCCCAACGCGGTGCTCTTTTTCCGGCCGGCTCGTGAGCGAATCTACGGCGTGCTGTTCAACCTGTACCACCACAGCTACCTGAGCCACCGCGACCGCGACAAACCGGAGCACGAGCGGCACGCGGTGCCGCGCGTCCAGGTCAGTCGGCGGCCGGCGGACGGCCCACCTCCTTGTTTGGTCATGGACTGCACGGTCCGGCAGGGCGGGGCGGACGGCGCCGGCCGGCCCGGCTGCACGTGCTGCCCCGGCCGGCGACGGGTCGCTGACGCGCGCTGTTGACACTGACTGCCGTGCGCGTGACGGCGCCCGTCGGCCGGCTCGAGCTGCCGGCGGCGCCGCGACCACCTCCTATCCGCGCCGTGACGACGCCGGCGGGTCACGTGGCCCGTCGATGGTGGGGGGGGGAGGGGGGCATCATCGGCGGCGGCGGCTGGTCCGATCCGGCCGGTCAGTCAATCGGCAGTCTGACGTCAGCCGGCGCCGTCTGCGCCTCGAGCAGCTTCTGCGGCGCACCAGTGGCCGCTGGAAAACGCCCCGTGGGCCAGCGGTCAGAATGACGCGGCGCCGCGCCGCGCGGCGCACTGCGGCGGGAATGTATTAGCCGCCGTTCGCCGCCGCAGCCTCTGATAGGATTGCTATGTTGCCGACAAATGCGGCTGTTCATTATGTAGTCGGCGGCTGGCGTCGTCGCGGCTGGCGTCGCACTGTGGCTGGGTGCGGTCCGGGCGTGGGTACTCACTACTCAGTGAGCGGTGTGAGCGGCGCGCCGCGCCAGTCACACCCGCGTCCGGAGCGGACAGAGTGCCCCGTCCGCCGCGCCAGTCACATCCGCGTCCTTCCGGAGCGGACAGAGTGCGCCGTCCGCCGTCCGCCGCGCCAGTCACACCCGCGTCCTGAGCGGAGCGGACAGAGTGCGCCGTCCGCCGTCCGCCGCGCCAGGGTCACACCCGCGTCCTGAGCGGACAGAGTGCGCCGTCCCCCTTCCGCCGGGGGCACGCGGCTCCTGGGGTCGGCTGGACCCGCCGCCGGGGCCATCGGCGTCTTGTACTGCGTGCTCTTTGTGCGTGCATTTACTGAGCAAAATACAGAGCCGCTCAGGCTGGACTGGGGCAGAGCGGGCGGGGGCCGGGGAGGGGGCATGGCGCCAGCCACCCATCGGAAAACAGATATCACAGAATGTACCGTGCATTGTTGCGCGTAACGGTAGTTTGTTTGCTCTTTACGCGTGTACTTTCATCTAATTTATTTTCTCGAAAGGTGCTCTGCGTGGTATTCCATGGTATTCCCTCAATTTTACAGTATGCAGGTAGGTAATATTTTACTGTTCATACCAGCTCTTACCAGGCTCTATAGTCTATACGGCCGTCTGTCGAGTAAACGAACAGTATCATGGACGGCTAAGGACAACATGACCTCAAAAGAACATCACGGGCCGTTTAAGTAAATATATTCCTGCCCGGGGCCGGGATGATTCAATAAATGTCACCGAGGTTTTTTAGCGAAAACTCCGAGGGCCGTTAGGCCCGAGGTGCTTTTCGCTAAAAAAGCGAGGTGACATTTATTGAATTCTCGGCCTTAGGGCTGGAAGGTGTTTCCCATACCTGCCAAAAAGCTCACAACTATAATTGATAGTGACGTCAGCAGCCGTGTGGTTCAACGTGTTTAACCACACCCCTTGAACCACACGGCTGGCAATATTAAAGCACTGCATTAAACTTTGAAAAGTGTGGTACAGTGCACGTGCCATTAAAATGCCTGGATGTCTCGATTTAATCATGCAATGTAACAGGTATGGGAATAGGCAGGCATGGGGGGGGGCTGCATTCAGCTTTCATACGGCTGCAGTATACAGCGCCCGTCCGCGGTAACGGGTAGAGTACCTGGTATTCCCCTCAGGCATTACGAAGGAAACATAGCTAAACTTCATACAAGCCCCTGCTGACGTGGGAAGCAGCTGCGCGGAGTCCAACAGTTGCCGGAGCAAACCGCCGTTCCAAGACGACGCTCGTGTCCCGGGGGATAGTTGCACAGTTAGTTTCGGGGTTTTATCTACACACGAGGTCGATGAAGTCGTGTGCAGCCGACGTGTTGCCGGACTGTTTGTTGTTCTCTGACCATTGGTCCGGGCTCATTTGTCGGCGAAGGGCCCCCTTCATTTCCCACTCACCAGCGCGGCCCCCGACTGACGATTATTTGTGCAGCACAGCCACCCACTGCGGCTAGCTACCGACTTTGTTAGTGAGTAGACCACGATTTGCGGGGAGCTCGCCGCGCTGTTTGCTGTTCAGCCCATGTATGATCGAGGAAATCCCCCTAAGGGTAGTGTGAAGCCGTGTCCTTATGTGCAAACCGAGGACCGGTTGATGAGAGTACGCCTTTGTCGTCACCCTGTCTCGAGTTGTTGGCAGATCTCGGGGCAGGCCGTGAAGGACGTCTCATGGATGATATAACACTGGATTGGTGTCTCGTGGAAATTAGCATTGGGATCCGCGACATTGGGATCAGGCCTGCCATCTAGCGAGAGAATTATCGTAAGTTAGGAGCAAGCCGAGTGAACGCCATCTCTCAGCATTATGACACACGTGGGTGTGGTGTGTTAGTTGGCTTGTAGTGCATATTCCCACGAGTTGGAGGTAATCTTACTGGACCTGAGACGACAAAAAATGTTTTAAATGCTTGAAAGCCAAAAACGTCAAGCAGCCTTTAGGTAATAACGAAAATAAAATGCGTAAGACGGTGTGTATTGAAACGCCCAGTCCCATCGGCTTGTACGACCTTTTATATAGTCATTTACTCACAATGGTACAGTAGTTTGACAATATGTCACTTACATATTTGGTAGGCTTATTCCTTCTTCTCCGAATTTCGCCCGATTTTCTTCATCTTAGTTAATGTTACGGCACGTGTCACGTGCCAAATTAAGGGTGTCGAAATTGTTCCACATAAAGTAACTCCGCAATGGCTGGGCCAATTACAGTAAAACTTCGTCAATAGTTAGGCACCCAGTGGCCAATACATTTCCATGTGTCACTATGGGGGTGCTACTGCACGTGCGCACGTGCGGGGTGCCGCTTCCATATCTCAAGAACGGCTGGGCGGATAACACTCAAACTTGGTACACAAATGTCACATCGATACTCGCACTGCATTGATCAGTGCTTACATTGGTGCAGAGCTGTTAGGAAAACGATGAAATGAGATGCGTGGTATTTATGCCTTTCTGTTCCAGCAGCTGATTGATTCGCAACAGGAGATCCTTGTTTGTGAAGGCTTCGTCTCCCTTCTCCATCCCTTGTTTAAAATAACATCAACAATGTACGAAGAAGATCACACATCAAAGTTGTTTTAGGCGGCTATCTTGGGCCAGGGCTCCGAAGTTGTAGTCAGAGCCAGCGGTTCTGTTCCGACTCGGAGTCGGTTGATTTTTAAAAGTTGTAGTCGGAGTATGAGTCGAACGTCACCGAAAAGTCATCGACTCCACATACTTACCAGGGCTGCAGAGTCGGAGTCAGAGTCGGAGTCTGTGTGAATCGACAGTTCTGCCCGGAGGAGTCGGAGTCGATATTTGGATACCGGAATCGGAGTTGGAGCCAAAGTCACTGAAATTTCATCGACTACGCAGCACTGGTTGGGTCCTTTTCATAGAGCGTCTTGAATGACATATTGAGCGGCTAAGACGTTAGCAATTCCGTTTTTAAGTTTTTCATTAGACTTATAGATAGTACTTACGTTCGTTTTGTTCTTTGATCGCATAGAGATCTTATATACATAGAGATGACACGCCTATGGTAAAGCACTTGATTTCGTGGCGATTCAGTGGGTCTTTTTAAGCAAGGTTTTCTGGGGTGCCATGGCCCGTGACTTGCATTTTGTAAGGATTCGGTCAAGGAGATTGTGTTCACATCCGCTTATTTTTAAGTACAGTTTTTCTTTCTTGTCTACATAGCTGTGACGCTTTCGAGCGTTATTATTGAAATGAAATTAGGCATGTTTTAACCTTATGCTCGTATTAGGTATTGCATGTATCATTAACCCTCGCCGTCCGACGGAGGCGGAGGCGGGTGCCGCCTCCCTATAGGGTTTTTCACGATAGCTCCGAACACGCAGGCGATAGAGAGCTGAAACTTGGCAGACCTGACCTTTGATCCAAGCCGCATCTTGTGACACCAACCGTATTTTCAGGTCAGATCAGGTCACTGACTTGTGGCGTCATAAGTGAACCTCTGCACAGTCCTCAGATGTCGCAACTTGGCAACGCCGACAGTGCCAGAGGAACTTTCACAGGGAGATGAAACTTACAGGATGTAGTATCATCCAGAGGTCTCACAACTTGTACATATATCTCGGATTTTCCCTAAAAATCACATGAGGTCAGGTCGGCCACGTGACCTCACCATTAGGTATAAGTCAATGGGGAAAAATGAAAACTGCTATGTTAGCGCCGAGAACTATCTCAAACTGTCTCCGGCACATGGAATCGTGATTTCTTACACGTCTTGCAAGGTCCGATGCTTCACTTTTGCATTGTTGACATTGCGTGGCGTCATTTATGGTCACTTGAGTCATTGATTAAAGAAAGCGCGGTTTTGAGGCTCATGATTACATATATAACTGCAATGAAAACCGTAAGACGGTTTGACAAAAGTCAGTTTGTCAGTTTGGCCAACATGTCTTATTTTCTTGGCCCTATTTTGAATATAATTATTAGCATGAGGCTTAGGTTTTCATTGCAGTTATATACTTGGGTTAGAGTTTTTCATCAATAACTCCCCATCAAATTGAGTTAGCGAGTCGGGAAAGCCACCAATAAACTCAGGAAGACCTGCCGATTCGAGTAATATGTAACATGACCTCTTTCAACCAGCTTCGTGATCTGGGGGAGCTGACCTGCCCTTGACCCGAGGTCAACACCTCAAGTTGACCTCACCCGAACAAAAAGTATATCATTCGACGCGCCTGAGCGAGGCGAACACGATGATGCCAAAATCGCGGCTCTCCGACCGTTTTTTTTTTGCGAAGTTATGAAAAACTGAACCCTGGCCCTTGGTCACTTGACCTGACCTCATGAGACCTTAAAATCGGGTACCAGTCCCTGCGTCTTGTAACGGCGCACACGCTTGTTTTTTCCACGACGCTCTAGCTTCATCAGGGGCGAAACGGCGAGGGAAATTGTACCACCCCCCCCCCCCCGGCCGGCGCGTATGTAGAAAACTAATAGGTCCGGCGAGGGTCAATGTATCATTGAATGGGAACATGCAACATATGTATATTTGAGCTTGCACCGTGCTCAGAAAGGTTCAGAACAGCCGTTTTCACGACGGTTGACCGAAAGCGCCAAACTTGACCAAATCTCAAGGTACCTACCCTGAAAATTCCATGAATCTGACCCAAATGACCTTAGACCTGTAACCTTTTTTTTGGGGGGGGACCATGTCAGGGGGCCATAAAACATGCATCGCACAACCCTAGTAAATAGTAAAGTTGGTTCATGTGCTGACCCTTGGTGACCTGACCTGTGACCTGACATGGTATTATCAGTGACCTCTAATAGCAACATATATAGGTACTAGGCAACGTACGCCCTATTTTTAGCGTACGCGAAACATTTTATCTTTGACCTGACCTGTGACGTCATCGGTGACCCCGAGGTCAATGAAATTGGAGTTCCGTCGACAAATTTGACAGGGCTATCGAACATCGTTTGAATGTGACAGATCCGTCCAGTAGTTTTGGAGATACGGGAGGGGGCAAAAAAATGCCCCCCACCGCGCGGAAGGTGGCCGGGAGGTGCCGGGTTGATGAGAGCCTGAATGAGAGAGAATGTTTTTAGGCGAGCTTTTAAGGAATTCAATAAAAATACAAAATGAAATCATGCCACAAATCTCATTGCTTACCTCAGGAATGAAATCAGCCAGGAAAGAACAGCAATATTTTTAACCAGTAAAACGCCTTTTGGGGCGACCAACGGAGCGAGCGAGAGGGTGGGCCTTGGACAAGAGAATTTGCAAGGGACACCTCCAACTAACTTGTGCACTGCACCCTACTAACCGGTCCCTAGCGATCTGCCAAATTTGAGCGCAATCGGCCTAGCCGTTCTCGAGATCTGGAAGCGGCACCCTGCACGTGCACACGTGCAAAATGGGTCACAACTGACTTTTCCACGGCACCCTACTAACTGGTCCCTAACCATGTACCAAATTTCAGCACAATCGGTTCAGCCGTTCTCGAGATCTGGAATCGACCCCTGCACGTGCGCACGTGCAGCAGCACCCCAACTGTGGCACATGGATATGCATTGCCTAGTGGGTGCCTACCAACATACCAACTTTCAGCGCAATCGGCCAAGTAATTACCAATATATTGCAACAATTGCAAAACTGACACCTCTTCGTTTTGCACGTGGCACGTGCATAAGCGGTCACCCACATGCATCGAGAATAGTCCAATACTTGGTAGAAAGAATGAAGCTACCCTAGAAAAATCATCGAATGTAAATCGGTCAAGTGGTTGCTGAGATATAAGCCTCGCAAAAGCATAACCACGGCCGGCCGGCCGCTCATACTCAGAAGTTTCCGTTAATCTACGAAAGACTACGCTTGCTTCGCTCGCTACGTAATAATTTCTTCAGACTAACAATGCCTCAGCCATATTGGCACGCTACTGGCTGAAAATAAGTTGCTTAAAAAGACCCACTGAATCGCCACGATTTTAAGTGCATGTCATCTCTATGTATATAAGATCTCTATGTTTGATCGGACAATTTGTTTGATTTAGGCCAAGTAAAGACTCATGTGAAAAATAGCGAAAACGACACGTGCTGGCGAAGTCTCCAATAACTCCCTGTTTCACGATTTAATGAGGAAATAACATGGAATTGCTTATCTTTTTACTGACCCTGCACATAAATCTATTAATTTCTTCGCTTTTACTGACATATAAAGACATAACATTTTGAAAAATTGCACAACAAGCCTGCTACTACACCATACTCCCGTGTGTCACAATGCTAATCAGCGGCGTTCACTCGGCTTGCTCCTAACTTACGACAATTCTCCCGCTAGATGGCAGGCCTGAGCTCAATGTCGCCAAAAACTGCGAAGACACCAATCCATTATTATCTCATCCATGGACGTCTGTAAACGAACCCCGGGACCCATAGAGTATACACAGCCGGGGGCGGCGGAGGGCGCCGGGCGGCTGCGTGGCCGACCTGACCTGACCCGACCCGACCTGTGACCGAGCGGTGCCGTCCCGTCGTCTGGCCGACCTGACCTGCGCTGACCCGACCTGTGACCGAGCGGTGCCGTCCCGTCGTCTGGCCGACCTGACCTGTGACCGAGCGGTGCCGTCCGGCCGTCTGGCCGACCTGACCCGCGCTGACCTGACCTGTGACCGAGCGGTGCCGTCCGGTCGTGTGGCCGACCTGGCCTGACCTGACCTAACCCGACCCGACCTGTGACTGAGCGGTGCCGTCCGGCCGTCTGGCCGACCTGACCTGCGCTGACCTGCGCTGCCGGCAGATCCGGGAGTGGGTGTACAGCCGCAGTAACCCGTACAGGCGTCCTGAGCTGGTGCCGGCCCAGCCGCTGGGCTGGGGCGTGCCCACCGTGCAGCGGCTCTGGTTCGGGTGAGTACCGAGTGCCGAGTGCCGCCCTCACAGGGGTAAGGAGCCGCACCCCGGCCCGAGGGCGGTCGGCCGCAGCCTCTGCTCACTCGTATGACGCGGCAGTCTAAATAACGGGACTGTGCAGCTCCCCGGTCTGCTTTTGGTGGACAGATTGGTAACTGCACCGAGTTGTGACTTGTCAGTTATGTGAAATGCGCTGATTGTCTGGAGAAGTAGCCCCTGCGGTCCCGGTGACGGCCGGGCAGGAGGGGGGGGGGGGGGGGTGACTGCTGTATCGGTGACAGCCGGGCAGCGGGGGGTGCGGGCGGACGTCCTGGTCCGACCAGCCAGTGGCCTGGGTCCGGTCATATCTCGTTTGCCGGTTATGTAATGCACTGCTCTGATTACATGCGCGTGTGTCCTGTCTTCTGTCGCCTGTTCGGGGCCGAGTTGAAACAGTGACCGCCGCTTCTTCGAATATCTGGAATAGAGATGCCACTTTTGAACCCGCGAACCCGCTTTCTGCGGGTTTTCAAAACCCGCAGGGTTTTTGGCGGGTTCGAGAAGCAAAACTTGTCGTGTGGCGGGTATTTGGCGGTCAGACTTAAGAACCTATATTTTTTTTTTTTTTTAGATGCAAAACACAATGCCAAGTGCATTTGCTCAGGTTAGCAATACAATATTCATCAAAACAACTTTTAAAACAGAACCAAATATAGAAATATATCAAGGAAGCACATTTCAAATGCAAAACTGAAAACAACCAGCAATAGCATCCACAGTCTAGCAATGACCAAACCAAGGTATAAGCAACAAACTACAAAGCATAAATAATTGCTGATGAAAGCATTCCATAAAACATAAAAGAACCTGAAAGCAAACTTATAGGAAGCTGAACTGAAGTCTATGTGCAGTGTGCACTAGATATACATTATGGAAGAACCCAGAATCAGAGCAAATGCCACATGCTACTTTATTTGCGTCTGGTCGGCATAAAAAAGAGCTATCAACTAAACAAAATTTGATGCAAATTCATTGATTACCTATTAGGGTGTGTCGATAGTCGCAGATTCGCGTTAGACAAAGATATAAATTGGCGCGAGCATGCCAAAACACTAGCCCTGCAGTTGGTTTTGCGTAAAAATGCGATTTGACGAGGCTCGGGCAGGTCGAAGTTACAGCGAAAAAGTCGCAGTCGACGGTGCTGCCACCTACATTGCCAATAACGGGCACTATCATATCGTGATAATTGGGGTAGTTTCAAAGGAGAAATGACTTCTATTGTTGTTCAAACTGCTTAAGAAGAAATAAAACTTTTCGGAAACACACATTTTTCCCAAATATCGCGATCCATTTTCTCCTGTTGAGTTGTTAGGAAAGTGGTAAATTTCAAGGTTGACGGCTAAAAAACGAAACAGGAGGAACAGAGCAGGAATCACCAAGACGTGTGCCGCGCCGATGCTGTAGCCTATAGATAAGGGGTGAGCAACAGAACCAGCATACCTAACGATTTTGATTACTGATAGATATTTTTCTCTAAATGGAAGACTATTAGTAACTCAGGCAAGCCTTCTAATATAGGTATCGACAGGGTTGCGGTAAAAGGTACAATCGATGGCACATTACAATTATTCTGAGTTGGGTAACAACACTCTTCAGATACCTACCATCAACAACCTCACTATCTCCTATATGGGAGCTATATCATCTGATTCCAGCGCCCTGAAAACAAACAGGTTATTACCAAAAATCTCTATATTAGCGCCTACCGACATACGCTGAATGACGCTATCAATACCCGACATTTGTAGAAGGTGATTCGCCACACAGCCCGCCGGCGTCTGAGGGGTTGAATAAGTGAGCCAGATTGCCAGCGACTCACCGCTAAACTACCGGGCATAACAAAACGGACGATGCGACATGACTCAGAGATCATCACAGACGCAACGAAAAATGTAACCGAAGGCCATCTGAGCTGTTGTTGTTGTTGTTGTTGTGTGTTCCCTCCAGCCGCGTCACCGCAGTGTAGCCGTGCGGCTCTGGAGGTCCCTCACGGCGGCCGCCAGGGCCGCCACCTCTCCGTCGTCGCGGACGTCTTCCGGGTTCAGGAAAATCGTTCCGTACATCCGGAGACGCCAGCCCATGAGGGCCGGGCACCGGAAGAAGAAGTGCCGGGGCGTGTGGCCTCCTCCCGGCACACGGTGCACAGGCCCGCCGCACAGTCGGTGTCAGGGCACTGGCGGCAATCATCGGAAGGGTTCCGTCCAATCCGGTGAAGGTATTGGCGGGATCCTGACCGGTGGCCCGCGCGGAGCTGGTGGACGTCGACGGCCGACGATCTGTCCCCCGCCGCTGCCGGTGGCGGCAGCCGGTTCTCCATCAGGGTCCGGTACCAGCCCTCCGGCCAGGCGGCGATGGTGCGGTCGCGGGCCAGTCTGGCGGCCGCGCGGTGGGCGGTAGCGACGTCCACCGGGACCGCCGCCTGGGGGAGCGCGGTCGCCTCCTTGGCGAGCTGGTCGGCGCGCTCGTTTTCGTTGACGCCGCAATGGGACGGCACCCACTGTAGGTGGATCCGGCGGGACGGACCGGCCAGGGCCGCTAGTTCGGTCCAGATGGCGGCTCCTAGCAGGGTCTTCTGGGACGCCGGGCCCTCTCTCAGCGTCGCGAGGGCCGACTGCGAATCCGAGCAGATGGTGATCGGCGCGCTCGGCTGCTGCGGGTGGTCGCGCAGGTGGTTCAGGGCCGCGCGGAGTGTGACCATCTCCGCCCTGAAGCTCGAGCAGAGTTGACCGGCAGGGACGCGTAGCTCGTCGGTTGCACCGTCCGGCCACTCCACAAAGGCTCCTGCTCCTCCGCTGCGGACTCCCGCATCCGCCGACCCATCCGTCCAAACCCAGATGGCTTGCTGGGGGAGGGACGCTAGGTGTCTCTGCGCCGCCTGGTGCAGTTCGTCAGGTGGGGCGTCCCGCCGCAACGCTCCGATGTCCAGGGAGAATGTGACGTGTGGGCAGGCGGCCACCTCCCACGGCGGCGCGCGGGCGGGCAGCAGGGGCTCGATCGTGAGCACGATCCCAGCAGCCCGCCAGGTGTCGTGCCCCACCCCGCCCCATCTGAGCTCGTGCGGAACCCTCGTTCAGATACGTAATATCGCTATCTGCCACCTCGCGGTTCCCTTGTCAAGCCGAACTCATAGGCGGCGGAACGGGGAGGGCACCGCGGCACCGTGCCCCCTTTGATTTTGGCATTTTAACATTAGCCCTATGGGCGTTGCATGGAATGAATGGGACCAAAAGTCGGCAGTGCCCCCCTTAATTGAAGGTATTCCGCCGCTACTGGCCGAACTGATGACACGCAATGGCCAGTCAGTCACAGCTCAGCTTCCTGCGGAACACAGGAAGACACATTCAGTGAGAGTCGGTGGTCATTGATTGTGTCAATATTATTGACATGGTGACTAAAGAACGGTTATATTGCGCCAATACTGTTGCCAGTAGCAGCACCACCAATCTTTTGAACTAAAACCACTTGACATCGGTAAAAAGAAACCCTCTAGCTTTTTTTCAAGCAATCCGTGAAATAGAGGGGATTAGAAAAACCGAAAACCCAAATATTAGCACTAGATAACATAGATCTTAAATTTTGGCCAACATTTTTAAAGCATAGGTACATCAGAGGAGCTGTTGGCGGCTTACCTTCGCGTCTGTGATGATCTCTGAGTCATGTCGCATCGTCCGTTTTGTTACGCCCGGTAGTTCAGCGGTGAGTCGCTGGCAATCTGGCTCACTAATTCAACCCCTCCGACGCCGGCGGGCTGTGTGGCGAATCACCTTTTACAAATGTTGGGTATTGATAGCGTCATTCAGCATATGTCGGTAGGCGCTAATACAGAGATTTTTTATGATAACCTGTTTGTTTTCAGGGCGCTGGAATCAGATGAAATAGCTCCCATATAGGAGACAGTGAGGTTGTTGATGGTAGGTATCTGAAGAGTGTTGTTTCCCAACTCAGAATAATTGTAATGTGCCATCGATTGTACCTTTTATCGCAACCCTGTCGATACCTATATTAGAAGGCTTGCCTGAGTTACTAATAGTCTTTCATTTAGAGAAAAATATCTATCACTAATCAAAATCGTTAGGTATGCTGGTTCTGTTGCTCACCCCTTATCTACAGGCTACAGCATCGGCGCGGCGCACGTCTTGGTGATTCCTGCTCTGTTCCTCCTGTTTCGTTTTTTAGCCGTCAACCTTGAAATTTACCACTTCCCTAACAACTCAACAGGAAAAAATGGAACGCGATATTTGGGAAAAATGTATGTTTCCGAATTGTTTTATTTCTTCTTAAGCAGTTTGAACAAAAATAGAAGTCATTTCTCATTTGAAACTACCCCAATTATAACGATATGATAGTGCCCGTTATTGGCAATGTAGGTGGCAGCACCGTCGACTGCGACTTTTTCGCTGTAACTTCGACCTGCCCGAGCCTCGTCAAATCGCATTTTTACGCAAAACCAACTGCAGGGCTAGTGTTTTGGCATGCTCCCGCCAATTTATATCTTTGTCTAACGCGAATCTGTGAGAAAAACCCCTCTGTCGACACACCCTATTACCTATCCTATGTTCTGTTCCACCCTATATTACGAAAATAACACACCAATTACCCTTACAAAAAATCAAAATATTGACTGGGCGGCCCAAGTATAACGCAATACAATACTGGCGCACTTCCGACATTCTGACAAGGATTGGCATTTGACTGCGTCAATTTTGGTCTCTGAGGCAAAGGAAAGCTGTCATTGATGACGCAATAATTTTACAATCAATTTTTCTGTCTTGGTTTTTGAATACCTCAAAATAGCAGTTATACATGTTACATACAAAACCACGTAGCTGGTCGCATTTATTTCTTTTGTCTTTTTACGTCCTTATCATTTGTATGACGAGAGAGCCGGAGAGCATTACCAAGACCATGTATGAAATTATTACATTTACTTTAGTATTTACTGTCTCTTTATTTCTTAA